ACTACTTCAGGGGCCGGAACTGGGGTCCTGGGTCTTGATGATGCAGGCGAGGCATCCCTGGTATGATCGGTGGCATTAGAGTAGTTGCGATCGCGATGGGTTGGGCGAGTGTGACTGTAGGAGCGCGATCGTTGGTCTTTCCCCATATATGACGGGAGGCTACTCTCGGAACTGTCGCGACCAGGAAACTCTTCGCCAAAGAAGCCCTGCAGCTTGCGCATATTGCCACGGTGCCCGCTAGCCTTGGAGCCGGTGCTGCTAGCCGTGGTCGTGACACTAGCTTCTGAGGGCCGTCTGTCGTCTGGAGAATACAGGTGCTCTGGCGAGTCGTGGAGGCCCAGCGACGAGCTTGCGCCGGTGCGCGACCCCAAGCCGTGCAGCCCGGCGGAGTACTGCGAGAAGAGCGACATGGTGTCGGCCGACTCGTCGAGGAGGCTCGCGGGATAGTTGGAGGGGTTGGAGTGGCCGCGCAGGGGATCGAGGACGGCCAGATCGCGGCGGTAGTTTGTGAGGTCGCTCAGGCGGCGGCCGCTCTCCCTCGACGTCGTCGGCGAGATGGCGCCGCGGGTGGTGGCGGTGGACGTGGTAGGCGAGATCTGGAGATCATCATCTCGTGAGAGGCTTCTACAGCAACGCAGGGACCCGCGTTAGCCATGTTGCGCAGACGAGGAAACGGCACAAGGCGACGGCAAGGGCGGACGGCACGACAAGGCGAGCGACGGCTCCCGTGTGCCCGCCGAGGCAGAGGCCGAAGCAGCGACCGAAGCTGGAGAGACGAGGCCGGGAGACATGGAGATACTCACTTGTAGTGCTGGGGCGTGGAGGCTTCCGTGTCGATGTGCGCGGGTGGCGCTGTTCGCGACGCAGCTTCGGCCGTGGCCGTCGTCGGCGTCGAAGGCTTCGCGGTCAGAGACGAACGAGTGCTGTCGGTGCTTGCGCTGGTGCCGGAGCTGATGCGGAAGGCAGCCTCATGGTCGGCCATTGTCGCCCAGCGGAGAGCTCCAGGCCTCTACCATGCGATGCGCTGCGATGCGGACAGGTGCTGGGAGAGGTCGTCGAGGCGCAATCACGTCATGCTTGACGGTCTGCGGGCAGCTGGCAGAGGAGCGGCGGCAACGTCTGGCTGGCTACTAGTATTTAACAGCGTCTGGACGGCGGTGCTGGCTGTTTGTCAAAGGCTTCAGCAGTTGTTCGCTTGTCGACGCCGTAAACGCTACGTTTGACGAGGGGCTGGCGGGCTGGGCATCTGTCGGCTGCGGCGCGGGATTATACAAAAGACGAAGAGTCGAGCGTGTGGTCACAAGCAAAGGCTGGGATCGTTCCAGCCCCAGAGCCGGTTTGGCAGGGCTGAACACTTTTGCTCAACTAGCTCTGGGAGGGGTGCGAAGTGAGGGGGTGGGTGGAGGGTCTAGATGTATTCAAGTATACAAGTAGCATCGCAGCGAGGGCGGCTCGGTGGGAGAAAGCGGACAGGCACACGCAACGTCGCCCAATTTCGGGCCAACGGTTTCGTGCTGTGTCGACTGCAATCTGCATTGGTTGGTTCCGCCCGCCGTGGATGCGATGCGATGCACTTCCAAGAAGACACAATCATCCGAGCGTCTACAAGAAAACCTGGCGCCCCGAGGCCAAGCTCACGAATCACTCTCCTCGTCTGATACTTGGTCAATCACATTTGCCTACCTACGCGTACGGCTTCTTCTGCGTTATAGTCAGTACCTACCTACCCATAGGTTCGCCTATATCTGCTACTACCACTACGGTACTCGCAAGCCCTTCTACAGGGGTTGCATTGGCTCTGCATCCTCCAAGGCAAAGACTCTCATCACCAGCACTTTTGGCGCCAAGCCACAGGACAGGCTCTTTCTGGGGAGACCCTGGGTGGACCGACTAAAATATCGCAGCAGCTGTTTCTCATGCACGTTAACGGCATGACGTTGTCCAATGGATTAGCGTTCTTACTGCACATCCTGCATGTACGTCCTTTACTTACATCCGGTCCTGGCCCCATGTAGAAAACACACAGCCGCAGCACGCATTTCCGTCTCGAGGGCACCCGCGCTTGTACCTGTAAGCGGCATGACCACTCCGTCAAAAGGTGAGACTTTGGGATGCGAAGGGAAGGGATGGGATGGGATGGGATTAATTAGCAGCAATCTGCGGGATGCGGAGTCCGGCGCATTGAGCAAAGCCGCCCTGTCAGCTACCGCCAGTATCCGGCCTAGCGATTGTGCGAGGGTGCCAAGGCCTGCTCGTCGATGAATCAGAAGCCGCCAAAATACTGCTGCCTGCCAACTTTCTCATGTTGGTCTGTGTCTTGTGTCTGTCTTGTCTTGCACAGACTGAGGAAAACTGCGCACCAAACGGGACGAGTACGAGGATGCTGCAGCATACGTCCACGCCTCCGGTTTTTTTTTTTTTTTTTTCGCAACTGTGGATATGTATGCATGTACAGTAGTGATCAAAGCAGGTCACACGCATGGGCGCAAACGACAAACGGAACGTAAGATTCCAGTAGGTACATGTAGCTTTCTGGAGCAGCATGCATTGATGCGTACAAGAGTGGTTTCATCGTCTCGTTTGCGACGCCCTCTCCGTTTTGCCTCTTGGTTGTTGTTTTCTTTTTTTCCTCTGTCCCTCGTAATCCCGCCCATTCAGAATGGTCCTCGGCAGCCGGGATGTGGACTCGAGCTATGCAGTGGCATGGCACTTGCAGGGCGCCAATCAAACGGGATCGCCCAACCCGGGTTGTTGGCCTCTAGTACGATACGGTACACAATATTCCAGCGAGCTTGCCCTGCCCATGCACCAGCCCATGTCAGTGTGTAGACTGGACTAGACTACAGGCTGATGCTCTGGCCGGCACTCAATCGATCAATATCATGGTATCAGTCAATCTAGCAGCCCAATCAGTCAATCGCAGCGGCCGCGCGCTGGCTGATGTGACTGTGATGCTGCTGCCAAATACGGCCAAAATGACGTTCTCCCCGCCCGGGGCTGCGGGTCACGGCACCCGCCACTGGGTGCGGCTAGTGGGCGTTGATTCCGCGGCTACGGCACTTCAGGCGTGCTCCAGTACTCTAGTACCTGCGAATACACTCCATGCAGGCGCCGCTATGGAGCGCTGCCAGGTATTTAGTGCTGGTACCCAGCTGGCAGCTGCCAGTTAGCCACAACGGAGCCCGCCGCATTGGTTCGCGGTAGCGTCCAGATAGGTACCTACCTATCCATGGATCAATATCAAATCAATCAAACCAAATCAAATCACACCAATCAAATGGAATGGCACCTGTCAGAGCTGCTCATTCATTTAATCTCTTTAGCCCCCCAGCTACCCCTCTCCAATCTCATCGGAACCAGAGCTGATGCTATTAATATTCATCTCGGGCCACAGCTCTCCGTATTCCAAGCTAGCAATGTCCAGTGGTAGCTGCAGTAGCAAATAAATGGGCGTTTTCTTGAAGTTGCTCTGAGACGGCGTGGCTGATACTATCTTTGCGAGTTTCACATTCTCTGCAGGATCCCTCCCCTGCTGCCTGCGAATCAGTCCGTGTAGGTATTCTGTATGTCGTAACGGTACCTGCTGACGGTCTCGCGTCCATCTCGCATCTCGCCGTCGCCGTCGTCGCCTAAGCCACTTTAGCCCGGGCTCGACGTCCCGCACGTTTGCCAGGGTCCTATCGACTCTGGCGGCCTCATAAAGTTTGACAACGACCGCGCAACTTGTGCCAAGGCCATTCGCCACGCAGTAGCCTCTTGTCTCGTCAGTGAACAGCATCTTGGTGGCCAAACATGTACGCAAGAGCCCGTATCAAGCAAGGGGGCTTGATATAGACTCTGCGTGTACGCGGATAGAGTGACCTCTTGAGCTTGCGTTCAATCAGAACATGAAACGGAATGGAAATGAATAGAATATTCAAAGTAGAACCAAGATGCTGTTTCGATGAGATTCCCTCATTTCAGCTGGTACGCACCATCATGTCGAACCCCTGGCACCTATAATCTCGCTCGTGAGGCCTTCTCCTCACACAGCCGAGCCACTAACACCGTATTCCTTCCCTAATTGTACTAAAGTGGCTGTTGAAGCTGGTCAGCTCAGCGCCACGCAAGAGGGAAGGCTTCATTCTGGGAAAAAGTTCCTTTGCCAGTACGTGACACCAGGGAAAGCACATGTCAGTCGTCTGACTCCTGTCACAGCAGTGGTGAGATAAGCGGGATGACAGCCACAGAGAGCTCATGTAGCTTTACATGCGGACCCGCCAACGGTGCCAAATATTAGACAGACAGACATGAAGTAATGGTAGCAGCGACTGTTTCTTGGATGGCAACAAGTAGTGCATACATGTATTTTGTTAGTTGACCGCAACGACAAATTATTTGTTTATTTGTCAGGTGGCCGCTAGCCTCGATTAATCGCCTGCGTGCAACCTGAAACCCGCTGCAATGTCCGTAACGCCAAATTCATCCCACAGCACCGCCAGGCCGGTAACGCCAGGCGTGCTGGATTGCTTGTAGCAGCTATAATCGTAACATGATAATACTAAAGATAGCAGCAGGAATTAATAGACAGAGAGCCAGTAAAGCGAGTTTTTTGTTCCCTAAATGACATAAGTTAGTAGATACCTACAAGATACTTAGCTTTATACAGCTTGAAACTACATGCACCGGCATGCGGCGACCACCCTCTACCCGAAACCCCGGCAGAGGACGCGGAGAGAAATCCGGCGTCTCTTAACCAGCCCCAAACAATGGCCGGCTCTTCTACATACCACCTAAACCACCTAGACTGCAGCTTTAGGCCACTTCATCATTGTAGATCCGTTGAAAAACACCAGACCGCTTGAGATATTCGTAGCCATTGGAGGTAGAGGCCTCCACTGTATGGGGTAGCTACGGTCATAGGCCGCCTCAGTGGGCTCGGTGCCCCGCGAACCCCCGCATATTGCTGCAAGTCCAGTGATGGCTAAAAAGATTCACATCTCCATGTGAAAAACATCTATATTCTCTCAAGAGCTGATACCTCTCAAATATATTGATGAGCTGGAAATCTCATTACTTATCACAGCTGTTCCATCGAAAACCTATACAAAAATAAAACCAATTCGTTCAAGAAAAGTATCCGTCATGGGTTCGGCTCAGGAGCAACTCCGTACTTGGTGGAAGGAAAGCTCGGTTTACCAAATATATCCGGCATCCTTCCAAGACACCACAGGCTCTGGAACCGGTGATCTCAAGGGCATTATTTCACGCGTAGACTATCTTCATGGCCTCGGTGTCGATATCGTGTGGCTGTCGCCCATCTTCCCGAGCCCCCAGATAGACATGGTTGGTTTTGAAACTCGCGTCTTTAAGCGGCTACCCTACGTATTCTAATCAGCAAAATGCATTCAGGGATATGACATCAGCGACTACAAATCCATAGACCCCATCTATGGAAACATTGGCCATGTCGACGAGCTCAAGGACAAGCTCCATGAGCGTGGCATGAAACTGGTCTTGGACCTGGTTGTGAATCATACCAGCGATCAGCATGAATGGTTCAAAGAATCAAGAAAGTCAAAGACCAATCCGTTCAGAGACTGGTACATCTGGCGACCGCCAAAGTATGATGCACAGGGTAACCGACAGCCCCCAAACAACTGGGAAAGCCACTTTCAAGGTACGTGATATGACTTTACCTTCAAAGCAACAGAGTAGTCAGGTTGAATGCTGATTTGCTACAACTCCAGGTAGCGCTTGGGAGTATGATCAGGCAACGGACGAGTACTACCTGCGCCTCTTCTGCAAAGAGCAGCCGGATCTCAACTGGGAGAATCCGGCAGTGCGCGAAGCGGTCCACGACATCATGCGCTTCTGGCTTGGTCGAGGCATAGACGGTTTCCGCATGGACGTCATCAATTTTATCAGCAAAGACCAACGTTTCCCAGACTCGGACAAACCGGTCATGAAGGGTTATGAGTACTACGCATGCGGGCCGAGATGCCACGAGTTCTTGAAAGATCTGGGCGCCATTCTCAAAGAGTATGACGCGTTCAACGTGGGCGAAATGCCCTGCGTGGACGACGAGAACGAAATCATCAAGGCTGTTGGTGCTGACCGTGGCGAGCTTAGCATGATTTTCTACTTTGAGCAGTAAGTCGGTACAAGATGTACAAGGTTGTTCTCCTCGGGAATAATTGTGAAAGCTAATTTCTCAAAACTTAGCATGGCTCTCGACTACGGCCCCAAGGGCAAGTTCTCCCCCGGCACATGGACCCTCGCAAACCTGAAGACTGTGGTCAACAAATGGCAGAGATTCATGTACGAAAACAACGGCTGGAACGCCCTCTACCTCGAAAACCATGATCAGCCTCGGATCGTCAGCCGTTTTGCATATGATGAACCTGAGCACCGCGTGGCCAGCGCAAAACTCATTGCTGTGTTCCATGCTTTCCAAGCTGGCACACCGTTTATATACCAGGGACAAGAGATTGGCATGACCAATGTTCCTAAAGAGTGGCCTATTGAGGAGTACAAAGATGTTGATTGTGTCAACCACTGGAAGTAAGTCGAACAAGCTGCAACCTGCATCCTTTCAGGTTCATATGGGAGGGCCAGTACAACTGACGATGTGCTAATATCTCAATACACAGCTCATACAAAGACAGCCCTGATGAAGATCTCAAACGGCTAGTCAAAGCAGAATACCAAAAGAAATCTCGCGACAACGCCCGCACGCCCATGCAGTGGGACGCCACCCCCCAAGCCGGCTTCACCACCAGCGACAAGCCCTGGATGCGCGTCAACGACAACTACACAGAAGTCAACGCCGCCTCGCAAATAGACAGACGTCGATCCGTGTATCACACCTATCGACTAGTCCTGGAGAAACGCAAGCAGTACAAGGACATCTTTGTCTACGGCAGCTTCGAGCTCATCGATGAGCCGAACGACAAGATATTTGCGTATAAGAGGAGAGCAACCAGCGGGGAGTCTGCACTGATTGTGTGCAACTTTTCATTGGATACTGTGAAGTGGAAGATGGATGACGGGCCGAAAGAAGTGCTTTTTACTACTAGTGATAGAGAGTTGAGCCAGGTGAGCGGTGGTGAACTTTCGCTGGCTCCATGTGAAGCAATCGCTCTGCTTCTCTGAGTGTTTCTTATTGAGATGCCTTTGTCATAGAGTACAAGATGATGGTTGATTAAGTGTTGATAAACTATATGAGGTTATAAATAGCTGCAAAACCCTGTGCTCTGTTAGATGATACCGTATTAAAGAAATACTGGCATGCAGTTCAAAACGTGGCTGATATTGGTATCGCGGCTCACCAGTTCCCCGCACCATTATCCGAATCCGGGGAGCGCTGTGTACATGAAACCCCGAAGCTTATATTGGTACGAAGTCGTTTGATCATTTTGGCTTTGTCAAAGTTCTGTTAGCGACCGGCAGCGTGTATCGAGGCTCGACTTCTTCGCTCTGTTGCTATCACTGATCATCATAATGAGTAATTATGATTCACATCACCCAGCTATCAAAGTTTTGAACAGTAATTTCTCTACTGCTAAATCTATGGACCACCATTTCCAACGGTGCTGGGCTCAGCAATCTTGTGGGGGATGCTTGGATAGCCTCGGCTGCAGTTGGTGCCCTTATGTGAGCCTCGTCTTTTGCAAACGAATGGATCCCCTTTATGCATTTCCTCTCTCGCTCCGGTCCTACGCCGAGCATAATTGGCTTTTGTTTGTTCCGGGGAGGTGTACTGACTGTTGCCTGCATAGACCTGGTCATGCGTTCCAAATGACCATGCAATTCCATTTCTCGCGCCGGCCTTTGATGATGAGATTTGTCCACATCCTGATGAGAGATGGGAAGTGAGGACGAGGCCTCTCGGATGCCAAATTTCGTCGAGGATGGGGTTGACAGTTGTTGCAACTATTGTGGCCACTTTGGCGGCTGTCATACTGGTCGCAGCGTTGATAATACTGGCGCGGAAGATACGGAAATCGGAAATGAGCTGGGAATGGGCATCTCGGTGGAAGTTGCCATTTCAGCGGCAGACAGACAGAGGCGATCCGGAGCGAGACCCATTGCTATCGCCGCAGCAAGAGAATTCGGCGGGGAATATCTGATGAGGACGATATTCTACTCGAAAAGTGTCCACCCCTCTTTAAACAACATGGAAAAACTGTCACGAATACGGTTGTACTGGCAGAAATTCAACCAGAGCTGACGGGTGGAATTATCGCAACCTCATCTCCCTCTTGGATCACCGCGCCTTCTTCGCCCTCCGTGGGAATGTCTACATAATCCAGGTTGACCGTTACCAAACACGAGTCGAGAATCTTGGCCTGGATGCCGGGATATCGCGACTCCAGCTCGGAAAAGAGCTTTCCGATAGGCACCGGCGCAGGCAGACTCTCGTGATCTTTGCCTGTAAAAGAGCCGGCGCTGGCAAAGTAGAGCAGGCTGAAGTGGCCGCGCGGTGGTTTTGGTGCGGATGATGTCATGATGAAGAGCGAGACGAATTGATGCGTTGAAAAAGAAGCCTCAAGATATCTCAGTGTTGCTAAATCGAGTGAGAATCAAGTAAAGCTGCTTATTCTAGGAACAGATTCATCAAGGTTGTTAGCGTAGACGCTTCTTAAAATTGAGAGCGACAATCATAATATTATCAAGTAAAGAGTCTAGGATCAGAGATCTTGGTGATAAATGTGGCATCATGACAATCAGGTAATACATGCTAATAATTTGATACATCATGCTAGACTAGGTTGTTGCGAGATGCAAAAAGGTATAAAAAACAAGTTTACACTTACAGCATCCTAGATGGCGAACAATTTGTATCTTGATCTGGAAGAGAATCGTCGTTTGATGATGAGGGTGAGTTGGCAAACGCACGCGGCTGGAGAGGCTTTTTTTATGTACATCGTCGCTTGCGGCCTCCACGTGATAGGCCTAAGCCATTTCAAAGCTACCCCGATAAAACTGGAGTAGTAGGTATTGGTGAGGAGGTGGTCAAATCTATTTTTACCTGGAGCTTTATCTCAACTGATATTGGACACCAATACCTCATCAGTTCCGCTCGTCTTAATCAATGTGTCTAATCGCTGCTCTATGCCCTTTACCCAGCCTTCAAAGACCTCCGAGTTTTGCTTCATGACTTCATCACTTTTGGTCACCGTGTTTTCTAGCTTCTCAATGCCTTCTTTCCATTGTTTGATTTCTGTTGCCATTTCCGCCTGCTGCTTCTCAATCTGGTCGAGGGTCTGGCTGGCTGTCGCGGCGTCGGCATGGATGGCTCTAAGTGACCGTAAGCGGTCAAGGAGAGGGGGTAGTATAGGCGTGAGGTTTTCAATTGTAGGGAGGATTGCGTATAAGGCGTTGATCTTAGCCTCTTGCTCGGAGGTGTCAACTGGCGGGGATCCTGCATGCTTGCCGAGCTCTTCTCGCAGAGCCTTGGCTTTTTCGCGTGATTCGTTCAGCTTGTCCTGCTCAGAGGCCAGTGCTCGTACTCGGCGGCTGATTGTGTCTAGGTTGGCAGTTGACGCTTGCGACAGGGCCGAAACTTGTTTCTCTAGAGAGTCGAGAGTAGGTAGAATTGCTCGAGGGAGGCCGCCTTCTCCAGCTTCTGGCATGAACGAGGAGCTGATGCCGAGGCTCCTCTCCAGAACTAACAGCCTGCGATCGAAATCCGCAGCTTTGGCAAGTGCATGCGTTTGTTCGTAGGTGGGTGCGTAGGTTATGGTGTACGTCGGTCCGGCAACGGAGACTTCCGTGGACGGCTCATCTGCATTGGAGGATGTCGCATCGATCTTCTTGATGCTGGTGATGCCAGAGCGTCTGGATAGGTCATCCAAGGTTTGGCTCAGAGATTCTAGCCGTATATCGCCTGGGGACGCATCGCCATCGCCGTCTGCAGCTGCTTTACGCTTGGCATATTCGTCTCTGGTCTCTTCCACTTCGCGCTTTAGACGGGCAATCTTTCGCTCCAGACTTTCCGCATCGTCATCATCAGAGAGGTCTCCTAGCTCCTCTGTCCCGTCTTGTAGTATTCGTTGGCGGCGGCTAGAGGCTTTGTACGATCGTCGCTTTCCGTCAACACGGTCTGAAAAGTCTGCTCCGCTGATATCGATAGTGGCAGGAGAAAAGCGAGAGCGCGCTTCATTAATGCGCAGTCTTGACCGCGAGATGTTCTGGGATTCGTCGTCTTCACCGAATTCATCGTCGGAAAGGGTTCGAGCTGCAGTCGTCTGTTTTGGTCGTTAGCTGGAATTTATAGACACAAGTGGGACAAGACACGGAGATGCGCAGTTCTTACCGGAACTGTAGAGTTGTTGTCATCGGTCAACTCTGGAGTCTCGTAGATATCTGGAGCAGAATCCTGGAGGGGGGTTAGAAGCCGAGCTGCTGCGTGCGTGTTTAACACGGGAGCTTACCAGGTCTGGCAATGCCGCGTATTTTCTATTCAGCGCCATGGCGAATATGAACGCGCAATCTCGTCGCAAGCCAGCGGCGTCCTGGCAGAAGTTGTAAAAATGGCTCTGCGGCCAAGCCTTGTTTGCTTGTTTGCTTGTTTGCTTGCGGACCGCAGGTGGTGAAGAGTTTCGGAGCTTGCATCTTCAAAGCCCCAAGGCTGCCTTCCAGGGGTTGACTCGCCCTGCAGAGTGGCTTGCAGCAGGTGCCACCAATTGGAGGTTGGCGCCGCAGCAATTGGCTGTCAATTCTACGTCTACACAAGAGCTGCTACGATAGCGTCATGAATCCTTTAATATCAATGTCACGTATGCATGACTTTTGGCTTGCAGGCTGAGCGCATCTGATTGATTTTACAGCTGCATCTGAATTGTAGAGATGATCCAGTACAGAGATCGGCTGTATTCACTGTGACAGCGCAGACCCCGCCAATTCGATATCCAAGCTTTAGCGATGTTCTGCCTAAAGACACCGTCTTACTTAGTCTCCTGCTGTGCCAACACATCGACGAACTAAGCAGCAAAACTCCCTACTTTAGTAGGAAGACCTCACGCGTCGAAACTGGACGCGCGGTGTAACGTCTGCAAACAAAGGCCCCAGCCGAAAGACAACGCAATTGGCCGAGGGGTTTCATTTCTGCAGACTTTCCGTCCTTGTTCAGACCAGTTGCTGCAATTAATTCTGCGGCATAACCGTTGGTTGTGTGGCCACACCCCATTTGGAGCCCGGAGCTTCTGCCGAGGGGCATTGATTTTGGAGGGCTCTCGTTCACCAAAGACGAGGTATCATGACTACGCCTTCTGCACCAAGGGTTGGCTTGAGCATTCGCAACTCGCCTCGCCAGCTACTTAAAACCGTCAATTTCAAAACCAGAACGACAACGGCGGCGACGACAGCAGCAGCAGCAACAACAACAACAACGGCAACAACAACAACAACAACAACAACAACAACAACAACAGAAAACCCGACGACAACAGCAAAAACAAAAACAACCACAACGACTGCGAAGCCGACGGCTGCTGCTCAGCAATCAGGTCCCAAGCCTCGAGGAGGACGCTCTCAACTCAAAATCCCCGAGCCCATTCCTGAAGATATATATGCGCCTCCTCTTGCATCAAGCGATGTGGAGGGTGACGACGACGACGACGACGACGACGACGACAACTACGACGATGGCGACGGCGAAACCGCTGAAAAGACACAAGCGGGCGTAGAACCCAGCCAGCAAGCGCATGTATATCCAGATAGCTCGGATGAAGAAGCCCCTCCTCGGGGAGCAATTTCAGCAACCAAGTTCACGTCGTCGAGCCAAAACGGCAGGTGGCAAAGCCTTCGAACAACAGCAACATCTCAGCTTCCAGGAGAATCTGATGAAGTGGAACCCGGCACCAAGAAGAGGAAACGACTCCCTGGCACCTCCAACGAAAAAGGAAGCCCAAAGAAAAATGCTAGCCATCTCACCAATAGCCAGGGATTCGTAAAGAAACAAAAAGTGAAAGCTTCTTATGGGGGGAGGAGAAGCATCAATTCTCAGGAAAGCCGAAAGCCCAAAGGTCTGTGCGATGATAGATATGAGTACCGATCCGCAATCATTAACGCCTCGCAGTCTCAGAAGAACCTTCACTGCCCAAACTTCGCGTCCCAATCTCAGAAGAACCCACGTTGCCCAAACTTCGACCTCCCGAGTACAGTGCTATCAAGTCGATTCGAAAGAGCTCCCAATTTATCGTACCAGACTCTGACGATTTTTCGTCCCCCATCAAACGACGTCAACCCCGTCAGCGATTTCTGCAGGTTCATTATGGCAACAACAGCGACATTGATGAAGACAACAACAATGATGGCAGTGATGACAACACCGGTGACAAGAATGGGGACAACAACGGAAATAACAACGGCGATGCTGCTGTTCTCAGTCAACCGAAATTTACCACCGACGATATCAAGCTTGGAAAAGACAAGCCAAAGGAAAAGCGAAGAAAAAATCCACTGCAACGTTTGGGGAAGAAAAACCCTGCAAAGTCACCCTCACCACCACCGGCGAGGTTCATAATGCCGGCACTGCTCTCGGAATTCAAAATCCGTAGCAGACTAAGCGGCGGCGGCGGCGACAATGACATGGACAACGGCGATCTATCTGACGTGGGCAGCAGTAGTAGCGATCTCAGCTCCCTCGGAGATATCTTCCCGGACAAGGAAGCACCAAAAGACGGCCAGGCGCTATGTCCCTGGTGCGGCGCCTCAGTCAACATGCAGCAGCTCAAGGAGTTTTCAGAGGGCAGGCAGCGACTAAGCGTCAAGATGCAGACCAAATTCTGCGAGTCGCACCGCAAAACATCAGCACAGGAGACGTACGAACTGAAATCATACCCCGAGGTCCAGTGGGAGAGCCTGACGGAGCGCTTCGAGAGCCACCGCGCCCGCCTCCTGGGCATCGTCAACGGCGAGGAGGCATCACACTATCGCACCGCCCTGGCAGACAAGATCGCGCTGGGCAAAGGCCGGTCCATGAAACAGGAAGAGAACCTCAACCCGGGCTACTACGGCCCGCGAGGCTTCAACATGATGTGCGACTACCTCGTCGCAGAGTTCAGCGACCTGCTCAAGAAGAAGGCCATCCACGATAAGGTCATTGCGGGAAGGGGCCCGCCGGCTTTTATCCAGTCGGTGCTGGTGCCTGAGCTGGGCGTGCAGCTGATCATGGAGGACATGCAGGTCTCACCGGAAGAAGCTAGGGGCATATTGGAAGAGAGCAAAGCCCTGGGCGAGCTGGTGCATGGAGAGATTTGATTGCCGCCCTCCTCTCTCAAGTGAGTATGGGCGAGCTGAGCTTTTAGTGTGTGGCTGCTGTGTTTGTTAATGGACGAGAAAAAAAAAGAAAACAAAAAGGAACAAAAAAAAGGACCCCCCCTGTCAGTCGTGGCTAAAAAAGGGCAAATGATTGTACGAATTCCGTTGTAATGGCCCTTTTATTTGTTGCCAGCCTCGTTGTTTTTTTCTTAGACTAATGGCGAGTTACATGTATATATTCTGCCCCCAACTTAGGATACCTACCTAGCTTTTCTTTTTTCTGTCAATTACCCAATTAGCGCAATCTTACAAGGAAATGAGATGGTGTTTAGTGACGTGAAGAGATTTTGTTCAAAAAGAGAAGAGGAAAACGGCTGCTAGGCAGAATCCAATTAATTGTATAACTTGAGACGAAGAAGAGCACTATACGTTAATACATGAAATCTTCCATAATATCTGTGTTCCTTGTCCAACAATCCAATACCATAAGCGCATCTAGTGAACACATCATCCCCCTCGTAATTTAAAAATAACGATACCAGCGTCATCAGGGTCGTCTAAAATTCCGTCAAGCCGCCATTCCAAGCTCCCCAATCTCTCGAGATCGGCGAACCTGCTGCTTCAGTTTTCTCAGAGTTGACTTCTTCTGCCTCGCCCCTGGACCGTTTCCTTTGTCGGGTTGAACATCACGTAAAGTCTCCAGCACCATCAAGTCTGCAAGAAATCGCCGAAGTCGCAATCCAGTCTTGTTGCGTACAAATGTATCTACTTCTTCATCGCAAGCTGCCGAGGCCGCAATGTGTAAGCCCCGGAGGACATCTCTGTCAATGACACCTGAATCCCCTTCACGGTCATCTTCCGGGGTTGAAAAACCATCTGGGATTGATGAAGTCCTCATAGGAACATTGGGTGGAGCAATGGCTTGAGACGGAATGCCGCGACTGCTCCTACAGCATACTCCAATATGGTCGGGGTCAAAGCTTGGACGAGGCTGGTCCGATCTTGAAGCTGTCCTGTACCGACTCCCACCTGATAACCCTCTATTCAATCGCTGAGTTGGGAGACTTTGGTATCGTTTCATGTAGGAGCTCTGGGCTCTTTGTTGTCCTGGTTGACGAGTAAGCAGATTTTGAGTTGTATGTGCTCTATGACCACGAGGGCGCGAGCAACCACCATCATAGTGACCACAATGGCAGACCTCGGAGTGAGCATTGAAGGCTCTTCTATCAGCATCTTCAGCTCCAAAACTCCTGTGGCGGGGGCTGCGTGGGCTTGAGTCGGCTCTTGGGCGGTTACTGTTCCCTCGACCACTTCGCTGCCGAAGTATAAGTGGCGTGGGCTTTGGAGGAGGCGTGGGAGGCCTGTCTCTGGGCATCCTTGAAACGGCGTTTCCAGATATCTGTCGGAAGTGTGCCTATTCTCTATCCGAAACAGACTCCTCGTCTTTAGGAAAGCAGGAAAACCAATGCCGCTTTGATTTCTTCTTCGCCTTGTCGGGCCGCCGCTTTTGCTTTCGGACAGGCGCTTCTTCAATCAGCGCATGTCGCCATTCATCCATGTCTTGAGACGCGGCAAACGATAATGCACTCATTGAGCTAGGGCTGGAATCTTGCTCGTCAAAACCATCGAATCTCGATACCTTTAGCTGCTTGCCACGAGCCTGACCTTTTTGTTTCCGAGACGACTTAGACGAAAGCAGCCTTGCAATGTAGGCTGGAAAATTGCGCTTCTGATCCTTTGACGTTACTGCTAATCCTGCCGCCCTGAACTCTGGGCGAAAGGGCAGTAGTGGAGATACTGTATGTAACGATATATTAGATTTTGCAGGTGTTGCTAGTGGATTTTTGCGTTGCCTTGGACCCACAGCCGCTTCTGGCTCGCCATATCGTCTTCCTGAGAGCCTTTCCAACGAATTTGGCCTGTTGGGTACCCGTGAATGATTCTTGTGTCGACTTGCAGGAGCTTCTTTGGACGCACGGGAGGTCATTTTATCTTGATTATTCTTCGATATTGCATTAAAAAGTCGGAGCTGCTGGCATACGCTCCGTGAAATAGCTTCCACGAGAGCAGAGTCGATGGAAGCGTGCTTGGAAGTGCTCATAAAGTCAGCCGTACCATCAAGAAGCCAGCTATGTGGAGAACGCTGGTTCTTTGGCATATATACGTGGGATTTGCGCCGAGTTTGAGGAGATGAAAAGCCCATCTTGGGGAGACATGCTGATGGCTTAGGATTTGGCAATGTTGGGGCATGGCTTTGCGGTGGATTCGCAAGCGTAACTGAAGCACTGCCAGCGAACACGGGTTGACGGGGAGGAACTTTTAACGGAGGTATCGGAAAAGAGTCCAGGTCGAGTGATAGCTCAGACGGCTCCCAGGAATTATCAACAGATGATGCTGCATCAAGTGATCTCATGCTAACGCCGCGGAAGGAAGCTTTCGCCTCAGCCGTGGTGCGATTGTCGGCCTGAGCATGATAAATCGGGTTTGATGGTGTTTTGTGCGCGCCGTGAGAGGGAATTTCTGCATATCGCTGCTGAGCATCCTGCCTCATATCGCTGCTGTATACTGAGCCAGGAGATGCTGGAGGAGAGGGCTGTTTGAGAATTGGAGTGTGCGCTCGGCTTGAGCGCTTGGAGAGAATGACAACACGAGATTTTGGACGCGGCCGATGGACTGATGCCGATGGAAGGCTGTCACGATATCGAATGTTTCTATCCAGTAAATAAGACGTGGCCTCGGGTATGGCCGATAACGTAGCCATTGAGGAATGAGAGTCCACGAAAGAAAATAGCGAGAGCTTTACGAGATGAAGCTATTGGAAAGAAAGCTGAGAAGTAGTGCAGACGATGATATTTGATTACAGCGGAATGGTCTAGATGTTGCTGAGCTAGGATTGTAAAAGAGACTATAAAACGCTTTGTTGTCATATCGACAGAGAAACGGCTGAGGGGAGAGCGACCGCAACTCCAAGGGGCAACTGTAGCTCAATGGAGAAGGTCCGGCGATGAAGCTGCACAGAGCTTTTCCTTCCAAGATGAATAGCGAATGCTGCTTCAAAGTTTAGGTATCTGGAAGGCAATGGTGAGAGCAGAGGCGATGATTATGGTCCATGATATAAGAAGCCATGGCTTCAGCACCTCTGCTTTGGGAGGCTACCTGATATCCTTGATACCAGGCGAGGAGTAGACGTCTAGCTGCCGATGGCCCTTGCGAAGCAGAAACTCGACAGCAGCGAAATCGCGCTTATCAATGGCCAGATTCCGCGAGAATTCGTCTCTACAAGAAGGTGATGAGTCTTTGAAAAAAATTCCGATACTCTCAGAGTACCTGGGTATGTATAGATTTTACTGTCTCACCTCACAAACTTTTCAAAGTGAGCTCGCGTGCTCTGTTCAACCAAATTAGCCAAATGACAAATTCAGCATTTTAATGGAAATGTGTATTGAATACGCACCTGAGGCTTCCTTCTACACTCGCGCAGGCACTGGCGATATAGCGCCAGCACCTCCTTCTGCAGGCCCGAGAGACGCATCGTTTGTGGCGGAATCGGTGATGTCGTTGCTCATTCAGGCTATTGCGGCCAATTAGGTAGTTGGTGGAATATTTCTGCCGCATCTTGACCCGCCAAACTGAATCGGCGCCTGCGGGCAAAGCTGGGGTCGGCGCCAGTGCGGAGACGGGCTCGCGAGTAATGCGGAGGGTAAATAATCAGCCGTATAAAAGGCTGTCCGTTTTGTGATATTTTGTAATACAGAATGACGGTATCGGCAGAAAGTAATTCTTGCTTTATATAAACATTGTGCAGTGAACTTTGGCTTTTCTCGCATTGTGCTCCTACCATCCACCGCATTTTTGTCTTCAACAGGCGCCTTGGCTATCCACTAGCAGCTACAATGTCTGGCAGATTTACAGTAATACACTCTCCATATACTCACAGCTTCAATGCTAGCCTAGTCCACCATTCTAACAGTCGCAGCGTCTCATTCGCTTCCTGGCCAAAGACGGCCGCACATACTACGGCGATGCCATCCTGCCTCAGGGCGTGAGCGACATTGCCAAAGCCCAGCGCGCGCGCATCATCGAAGGAGACATCTTTGGCAAGTATCACGTCACAGACGAAGAAGTCGGCGTGCGTCTGTTGCTATCACCATTGGCTCAGTCACAAGTGAAGACGGTGAGATGTCTGGGACTCAACTACGCCAAGCATGCCAAAGAGTCCAACATGCCAGAGCCAAAGTATCCCGTCTTGTTCTACAAACCAATCACGTCTCTATCTGGCCCAGTTGACCCGATTCCTGTTCACTCCATGGCGCAAGAGGGAACCGGGCTGGATTACGAATGCGAGCTTGTAGTGGTGATTGGAAAGAGGTGTTCAGACGTGTCCGAGGCCGATGCGCTCAACTATGTTCTTGGATATTCCGTTGGCAACGACGTGTCCCATCGAGACTGGCAGATCAAGCACGGAGGAAGCCAATGGTCTCTCGGCAAGGCCTTTGACGGCTGGGCACCCTTTGGTCCAGCCATTGTGACGGGCGATGCCATCAAGGATCCGCAGGCTCTGAATATCTGGACCAAGCTCAACGGGCAAACCGTTCAGGTACGCGATTCATATTCACACATTCATATATGCTCTGTTGAGAAGAAGCCTGCGAGGCTGACCAAACCGTGGCGTACAGAATGGAAACACGTCTGATATGATTTTCGGCGTACGGCAAATGATTTCCTTCTTGAGCCGCGGCGTGACTCTCATGCCCGGCGATGTCATCTTCACCGGCACTCCCGAAGGCGTAGGAATGGGCCGGAAGCCACAGCTGTGGCTCAAGGATGGAGATGTCGTGGAAGTTGGACTCGAAGGTGTCGGCACGTGGTACGTTGATGGTGTTCGAAATGAGTTCAAGTTGACCGGGCAAGGATATAAGCTGACTCTGCGCGCCGTTTAGCACCAACAAGGTGGAATTTGAAGGCCCCAAAGCCAAAATCTAGGCGGGATATGGAAGGAGGGAAACAGAGAGTTTGATTACAAGCAGTGGTAGGAATTGCTCGTAGGATGAATGCGACATGCCTCGCTGCTAGGCAACAATTTGGGAGCCTAAGACGAAGCTACATTTCGAAAGCGATCCTGGCCGGCTTCATGGGTTATCGAACACGATGAAAGCAACATCGAAAGAACCACGACTCTCTGTAGGGACCTACTATTAATAGACTTGTTGGCAATGCTGTCCTGCCCCATGCAGCCTCACCGATCTACTGCACGCTTGACCATTGACTGAAACCTTTACCGCTGATAAATCCCCGGTGCAATGACTTGATATGTGCCTTTTAATCTTGCCAAGATGAATGGGGAGGCTCATCATCCATCCAGTACAGGTATGGAGTCCATGCAATGCTGGTCGCCCGTCAAAAAGCGTGGCAGATAGCGCCCACGTGGAGGCTTTCAGTGGCCAGCATCCAACCACGCGTGCGGCTGATGTGCATGTCCAAATCCTGCTAAAGCTGCCATTCCGCAAAAAAGAACCTGCAATCATGCTTTCCGATCCCCAGTTGCTGCTTCGCTGCGAAACATGATCAAATGGGGCCGCTCTGCTGGTTCGGGTTTCCCCGGGGTTGTGAAGCTGTAGCACCGTTGCCAGAGAGATCAGGGTGCTGGCAATGTATCAAATACCAGAAGATGTTACAGTAGATCATGTATCGCTGGAGATTAAAACTCCTTCACTGTGATCTCGCAGCTTGAACTTCTGCCGTGAACATATCGAGCAGCACATGCTCCTGGCCAGTGGCTGAAGCCAGCGCTAATAGTTCAGCTACAACGCTTAAACGCCTTGCAGCAGATGCTATATCCACTTCTCGCCTCACACCACCAACGAGATGCGGAATAGCTAGGCAAGCTCCGATGCTGCTCACGCCTCACTGGCTACATGTACCTAATGTTTAATGTTGTCTCAAGGGGGGCAGATAGTGGTAGAACTTGTATCCCCCGGGGCTGTGTCGTTGGATGGACAAAATGGGCAATACACCAGAATCGGTATCTCGTATGTGCCATGGTTTGACAACTTTTACTAGCTTTCTTACTTGCCTAGCCACATGTAGTGTCCCCTTTATTTCGTCCACCCTTCCTACGGCCAGCCAAGTGTACCATCCAAAGGATGAGCCAGGCCGGCCGTGAGGAGGCTGATTTGTCCTAGGTCGGGGTGCCTTGCTCGATGGATGAGCCTAGCCTAGAGACTGCGGCTCCTGGCCAAGAAGCTTTGCTGGCCTGCTAGATTGTCGTCAGATGCGGGTAGCAAGAACCCATCTCGTAGTGTCATATCGTAGCTGCGCCGGTCTGGAGGGCAAATCCGTTTCGTTTCGTTTGCTTTGTTTCTTGTCATTCCTACTTACATGTTCAAGAGAGAGCGAATTTGCTTTTCAATGTTACTACATTTCTGCGACGTTCATTCAATCATCGTCATCTACTTCCCGTAAAACAGACTTACACGATGGCTACCTCTACGGTGGAGCTGCACATGCTCACGTCTGCGTCGCTCGGGCCAGATGACTCCATCACTCTATACGAAAACCCATATACGGCGCTCGAAAAGCTACAAGACGCCAGTAAAGACAAGGAAATCGAGTCGTCCGGCGATGTCAACGGTGTCGACTGGCGCAAATACGAACCTCCGGCCGCACTTAGAAAAGCACCGACTATCAAATCTCAAATTCTCCTAGACATCGTCTTTAGCTCGATTGAAAACGTCAAGTCGAGAGTCGAAGAAGAAGAAAGGCTGCTGAAAGAGGCTGCTGAAGAAGATGAGCGACGGACAGCCGAAGAGAAACAAAAGGCAAAAGGCAAAGAGCCTTATTTACCCGTCATCGTTCCGACCAAAGACTCGCCAGCCGAATCGTCATCATCAAATATCAATACCAGACGCACAGTCGCATCAAGTACAACCTCAGACTTTTTGTTGTCAGCATCCAACGACCTTGTGGCAAAAGCAGAGAAGCGACGAAGGTTTGGGCTGCGCAATATATTCCAGCGGAGCCCAGAAGGAGGAGAAACTAGTGCCGCTGGACGGTCTCGAGAAGCTCTTCGACACAAGCTAGAGACCAAGATTCTATCCTTTGACGCAAAGTCAACCGATCCGAAAACTGAAGAAGCTATCGCAGTTCTCCGAAAGCTCAAGTTGCTCAAGACAGTAGATGTCGATGAACTAGTGTAAGTCTTCGTACTTCAAAATCCTACAAAGATATCCCATTAGCTGACTCACCTTTTTCTCCTTGCAGAGAATGCGTCTCTTGCTTGGACGACATTCCCACAAAGGACACGGTCAAAGTCTCATGCCATAGTTACTGCCGCGACTGCTTCGCTCGCCTCGTATCAGCAGCAGTTCAAAATGAACAGCAGTGGCCGCCCAGGTGCTGCTTGAACCAGATCCCCTTCAAGACAGTCCTCAAAAATATTCCCGACGACCTCAAGAAGACGTTTCATGAAAGATCATCGGAGTGGGAAATCCCCATCAGCGAGCGAGTGTACTGTTACGCCCCTGATTGCGGTATTTGGATCAGACCGGGCAAAATCAGCCTTGCGAAGCGTCAAGCCTGCTGCGAGCGAAATCATGTCACCTGCACCATTTGTCGAGGCCAAGCGCACGGAAATAACGACTGCCCCCAGGATCATGACTTGAATCTGACCAACCTGCTGGCGGAAGAAGAAGGCTGGAAACACTGCATCTCCTGCCATGCATTGGTGGAACATAAAGAGGCGTGTCAACACATGACGTGCAGATGCGGTGCCGAGTTCTGTTACGTGTGCGGATTGCAGTGGCGAACGTGTGGGTGTACAATGGAACAGCTTCGTGCAATCAAAGAGGCGGCCAAGTCTCGGAGGGAACAACGATTGCTGGACGAACAGGCGGATGCCGAAGAGCTGCGTGAGATTCTGGCTCAGATCAATGAATTTGAACGTCAGGAGGCTTTAAGGCTGGTGGCGCAAAGGCTGGAGCAGGAAAGGTTAGAACAGGAACGTTGGCGGGCCGAGGTCGAGGAAAGGCTCAGGCTGGAAGAAATTCGCCGTCAGGATGTCGAGATCAAGTACCGCCAGTTACAGGATCTGCTGGACGATTTACATGAGCTTCAACACGTGATGGCCGATTCCAAGCAGGAAGACGATGCCAGAGATTTGGCTACGGAAGCCGAACTGGAGAAGAAGCGGCTTGAAGAGAAGCATCAGGCTGAACGCAAGGAGTTGGACTCGTTGGTGCTGGTCAGGCTCAAAGCCAGGGAAGACCAGTATGAAAAAGAATATGCTGCTCGAGTGCACTTGGAACGCCAACTAGAGGACGACTACCTGGAGCAGCTTCGCGAGTTTTGGAGTGGCAAAGATGGAGGAGATGAGAGGATCGAAACAAGCATGCAGCCATTGCGCCAGCGTATGGATTCCGCATACCAGTCGTGGCAGAGGTGGAGAGACGACCAACTGGCCCATTATCGAGACGGACTTGAGGATGAGCGGACCGCAAAAGAAGATTTCATGTACAGTTCGAGTAAAAGGCTGGACGCAGCGCACTTGGACAAGGAGACGGAGTTGGCGAGGCGAATCGTGGCTGAGAAGCAGTGGATTCGGGAGGTGATGCTAGAGCGTGGGCGGTTGCTCGGCGAAATGGAGATTCGGGAGACGGAAGACGATGCGGACAGCCTATATGGCCTCGAGTTGGACGAGTAGAGCGGTTCTACTGATGACTACCCTAGGATGGATGGTGAAATTCGACGGTACGTAAAGTGTCTTTGGTAGTACGATCTATACTTTGGTATGTTTGATGTCGAGAACTAGAGCTGGATACATGGATTAGTAGAACAAACGCATTAGACTTCATTCGCTCTCGAGAAAGAAACTGCTGTTTAAATAGTTTTTCAGTTACTTGCGCTACTATTCTATGAGCAAGTATGAGCGAGTTACCAGTGCAGAGCAGTAAACGTGAACTAAGGCGGCCAGATGTTGAAACGCCATCCACTCAAGTTCTCTTCGCCTTTTCCCCCATAACTAGCAATTCCGTGCACGACATGATATTTGACTATACTCGATACTTGACACTGCGATAGGCATCCGAGGTAATCAACAAAGTGCTATATTACATGAAGGAGACCTGTGCGCAGCAGCAGATGGTCAGTCGATTCCAATTTTGCCCACCCCCCTATCATCTTTGGTGGAGGCGATGTGCTTGGAAAGGCCAATGTTTTTCAAGCTTCTTCCACGATATCTCAATAGCTGTGCCGGGTAAACAAGACGGACGATTATTTTCTTCAGGTTCGGCAAGATGCCGAGCTTGAAGATACCGAGGCTCATTAACAAGATCTCCTGCAGCCGAGTACGGTCAGCCGGTACTCGGCACCGCGTTGGAGGCGCCAGGAGGTGGTAAGAGAAACGGTGTTTCAAAGGGTCTGATTGGAAATGGACGGCGCGATGGATGAAGCAGTCCCGATTTAGCTGCGAGGCAAATCGCCAAGTGTGCAAGTCATCTGTATGGCAATACTAGCAGTAAAAACACGCAGTAGCACCTTGGCAGCGCCGGATATCAATTGCTAAAATTGCCATTGATGCAAAGCAAACCGCAATCATACTTGAAGGCGCTTTCACGCATCCAAGAGGCATGACGAAGCCCCTTTGACCCTCCCACGGCGCCAAAACAGTCTAAAACGCGCTACTAGCGTCTCACCCAGCGCTGTAAAACAGGGCGCTAGAACGATTTATGGGGGGGCGCAACTGCTGCCGCGGCCACTCACGAGCGCGCCCACGTCCCAGCTCCTCCACCTCCAGACTTTTGCACGTCACCCTGGCTTGTCAGGATTATTTTAGACCGCGATTGCTCGAAACCGCCCCCTTGGCGGGAAATCCTGCCGCCTGATAGGAGCGTTGAAGGGCCAAGCTTTTCATTGCTCAAGGGCCGCACGAGCCAATGCTTGCAGTCGACATGGGCTGTGGCCGGCTCTTCACACTTCCGGGTCAGGGCAGCATTCGAAGCACAGCGTGTGTCACCAGCTGTGCGGCGTCGCGCTACATCTGTGGGCTGTTTCTGATGGAAACAATGGAAACAATGGGAAACGGTACATGAAACAGAAATGGGAGGAGACGGCGTCGAAGGCTTGAAGCCAGTGGTGAAGAAACGTGGGGAGAAGGCATAGGGGAGAGAACGGGTATGAATATCATCGGCACCAGCTTATGCTCTCGCTGATGCCTTTGCAGCTGCAGCAGCGTTGCCAACTCAGATTGGCGCTGGATCTAGAGCAATACGGAAGAACAGGGCAAGCAAAACAGAATGCTTCCACCTATGAAGCGGAGCCACGAGCGTAAAGCATTTCTTTCCAGGCTGTAAGCCAACATCAATGCATAGCAAACCACGAACGAGAGCCAGCAGATAGACGCTAGCCAAGTGGCTGTGTTAGCCATGGCCACCAGTCTGCTTTCAATAGAAACAAGCTTTCTCGGCATCCGCAATGCTGCAGCCCCTGGACCCCGTTTGTGCCTGATATAGCCAAAGGTAGGCTTCTATCTATTCCATTTCGAGATGGCAATCGTCTCAGCTTATGGTAGGAGACGCTACGACGCTGGTCCGGAACAATCTATGGCCAATACCACATTCAATCTGCCACGCAGTATGCGGTAGCGCCGCCCCGTGGGACATGGAGGCTCTCTCCTTTTAGCTCCATATAGGAGTCTATCCAAACAATCGGATAGCGCTACTATGCCTACTGCTATTTGTGGTTTGTATCAACTCATTGACTTTACGGCCGCTATCAGCAGTAGTACGGAGTGCTAGCACAGATATGGGCTTACACGGGGCTTATACTGACTCGCAAAACGGAATACGCTATGCATTTGTTTTCGCAAACAGTTTTGAAAGCGTCAGCGTCTTGATAGCCATGACCAATGATATTCTCCCCATCCAGCCCACGCCCCTCTATATCGACATGGGGCTGTGTGGTTGTAATGAGGCTTCTACAGTATATGCCCGGGGGCGTAGAACAACCAGGGGTGCTCCGGCCTAGTTTATTCCCCGGCAAACGTTTTGAGGGGCTCAAACATCGCTTCGCTGGGCGCTATGCCTATGCTTGAGGCCCATCATGGCTGCCTCAATGGAAGACGGCGGCTATCCGACCTGCCATGAAGGGACAGAAGCATATAAGACCAGCACACCCTCAGGTTCTTGAGATTTCCCTTGGCCCAGACAATCTCATCTTCTTCTTCAAGTGATACCCCCAAGCCTGCAAATCAACTTGCCTGTTTCTTTTTTCTTCCTATTTTAATACCAACAAACCAAACAACTCAAAACACAACCGCCAAAATGCTCTTCTCAACTCTTGCCGTTACTGCCTTCTCCGCTGTCGCCAGCGCCAAGACGATCCGCATCGACGTCGGCCAGAGCGGTCTCACTTTCTCTCCCAGCGACATCACTGCCGCCGTTGGTGATATCCTGGAGTTCCACTACCACCCCAAGAACCACTCTGTTGTGGCCGCCGACTTTGCTACTCCCTGCAAGCCCAAGGCTGAGGGTGGTTTCTACTCCGGCTTCTTCCCTACCACTGGCACCGAGAACGTAAGTTGACTACAAGCATCATAATGGAACTACATCAGACGTGCTAACAATCATCTTTCCAGTCCAACGTCTTCCAGGTCGAGGTCAACAACACCACTCCTATCTGGTTCTACTGCTCTCAGTCAACCGGCAACCACTGCGGTGCCGGCATGGTTGGCGCTGTCAACGCCAACGCCAACAAGACGCTCGCCGAGTTCAAGGCTGCCGCCGAGAAGGTCACCACCAATGAGTCTCCCAAGACCGGGGTGTTTGGTGGTAAGGTCCTCGCCTCCTCAACCACATCTAGCGGCGCCACCACCACCTCCGGCAAGCCTGCTGCTGCCACCACCAACGCTGCCGCTGGTCTCGGCGTCAGCGGCATGGCTGCTGCCGTTGTTGGTGCTGCCGTTGCTTTTGCCCTCTAAGCGCTGGACGCATTTAGACTGGGAACATACAAAAACTGACCGGGTTTTTTCTTTTTAATGGGGAATTGCGAATAAACATGTCGGCATGTACGATGAGTCAAAGATTTCTTCTCTTTTGGGGCAGCGTGCGGAAAAGTAGCCAATAATTCATAAACCCTGCGGGAATGGCTTCTCTGTTTCTTCTATCTTTTATATTTATCATGGTCAATTATGGTCAAGGCAATTTACATAGACGCCTTCGGGCAAGTCTTGGAGTTCAATATACAATGATTATACCTCCAATCTGAATTCTGTGCAGTGAAAGCAAAATACCTCTTCTTTTTTCCTCGACAAATTATACAACTCTATGCATAGTATTGAGCTCTGAAGTGAAACTGTGTCTTGGAGTGATGATTTGAGACGCAATCACTCGCGGCTCTATGCGGCTCCGTAGAAAGTAGACCCTGGAGACTTTTATTTTTATTTTGTCTTCTAGCTATCTACTCACAGGCACTTTATACTTCTAATATATTACAGATAATTAACGAATCAACCCTTTTCCCTTCCAGGTCTTTTATTATCGACAAAATACCCGACTAGCATAATACAAAAGTCGTTCGAATTGTATCTTCCCAACTAAGCTGCCAAGACTTTTAGGTCCAAAACTTAGTGCCTGCGTTTAACAGATCGCACTGTAAGGATAATCCGATCTGAGGCGAAGAAAAAAAAAAGGCGGCTTACCTCATGTATTCTCTCACACTAGCGAAAGGGCATCTCTCATAAACTTCCCTCGCAAACCTCATTAAGAATTAACATTTACTTTAGGCGTTTGGCTGGGCAGTCCGTCATGGGGTCCATCACCAGAGATGAAGATGTAGCAGTAGCCTGCCCGCAGTAAGTTCTCCCCCGGCAAAGAATATCTTTTTTCACCATCGTGCAGGGTAGGATTTTCACCGACGACTGACTTGAAGATATGATACCTAGCCCGCTTAAGATCTTTGATGCTGCGAGGAGGCAGGACAGGTTTTTGTATGCCTGTGCGCCGATGGTGCGCTACAGCAAGGTGAGTCCTATTTCATGATGGCTGCTTAAGCACGAGACGTAAATTATCATACAAGGATATGAAGCTGACTGTTGTTCAATCTATGTAGCTTGCCTTTCGCCAAACTGTTCACAAATATGGCGTTGACTTATGCTGGACACCCATGATTCTGGCCAAGGAGTTCAACAGGAATCAATTTGCCAGAGATAGCGGTACGTCTCTCATCAGCCACTAACATCATTTCAAATACACAATACACGGTGAAATGAATGAAAAAAAGAACCCCCCCCCCCCGAGACAGGCACTGATGAGAGTTGAGACTCAGACTTCACAATCAACACCACAGGCATCCAGCCTCCCACCATTGTCCAATTCGGCGCCAACGACCCCCAGGAACTCGCTCGCGCGTCCACCCTCGTCGCACCCTTTGTCTCGGGCGTCGATCTCAACTGCGGATGTCCTCAGTCGTGGGCCTGTGCCGAGACGCTCGGCGCCGCGCTCATGAATGAGAGAGAGCGGGTGCGCGACATGGTCGTTGAGACGAGGCAGTATCTGGAGAGGGACGGATGGGGCGTCAAGATGGAGGAGGACATGCACAGTCCGAAAGGACGCAGCGTGAGCGTTAAAATACGAGTCCACGATGATCTAAGGTAAGGGGGGGCCATTGTATAACACTATATACATATTCATCATCATACTCATGGATTTCAAAACTCAGGAGAACAATGGACTTCCTCGATACCGTCATCGGACATCCCCAGAACCGCCTCGTCGACTGGGTCACCATCCACCCTCGAACACGCCACACGCCCTCCACCACGCCCATCCGCACCGAAGCCCTCGAGATCCTCACGGAAAAGTACTCCCGCACACTCCCCATCCTCCTCTCCGGCGACGTCTTCGATCTCGCAACCCTCCCCATCAAATCCACCGCCAACATGCCCGACCTCGCAACCCTCACCGTCAAACAAGACCCCCAGGATACACGCACTTCCGCCACAACACAACCAAGGCCCAGCAACACAAATCTCTCCGGCTTCATGTCCGCCCGCGGGCTCCTTGCCAACCCGGCCCTCTTCGCCGGCCACTCCTCCTGCCCCTGGGAAACGCTCGAGACGTTCATGTGCAACGTCGCGCGGTGCCCGCTGCCCCTGAAGCTGGTGGTGCATCACGTACAGGAGATGTGTGCTCCTGGAATGGGCGGCGACAAGTCTGCGCTGCTGAACAAGAAGGAGAGGGCGAGGCTGGTGGAGTTTACAAATATGGCGGATTTGATTGATTTCTTGGATGACAAGATGGAGGAATATACGGGGCAGAAGGGAGGAATGAGAAGAGACTTATAGAATGTCCGAATATCTAATACAATTAGTCAAATAAATCACTTGGAATAAAAAAAAATGAATGATGAATGATGAGTAAAATAGAAAAAAGTTCGTCTCTCCTTGGTATTCGTTTGATTCAAACATACGCTTCTTCGACTCTTATGAAACATGTATAGAGCAAGATATAAAAACTAGAAAACAACACCCACTCTGTTCAAATCAGTTATAAGCCGGTCAAGATACCCTGTATGCCCATAGACCCCGAATCGTCTCGCTTCTGCACAAACGCCTTGAAATCCGCCTTGGACAGCTTCCCCCTCACCGAGCTCGACCCCGGCGCCAGCGTCCTCACCTTCTCCCTCAGCGCCTCCGGCCCGACAATGAACAGCGATCCAATCTCCGTAAGCATCTCAATCGCCGTCTCCACGTCCTTGGCCAGCGGCCATGCCCGCAGCGTGGCAACGTACTTTGCAATGTCCTGCGTGACCATCAGACCACCCGTGGCATTGACCTGGAACCGCTTGAAGTGGTCAAAGAGTTGCGCGTGGAGCACGAGGCCGAGCTCACTAAAGAACTTTTCCGCGTTGTGCCCGTCAATGGCCTGGCTTGCGTGTTGGCTCGCCCGTGCGAGGAACTGGCAGATGTGCAGACATGTACCGGTCTGGAGCGATTCCAGCTCACCATCCTTGGGCCTAAAGTCCTGCTTTTTCTGTGTGCCTAGCGATTTGATGACCCAATTTACAATGACATCGATGGATACTTTCATAATGGCGTTGGTCTTCTTTTCGATGGCGTCAATAGCCATTTTCTTCTGGGCTTCCATGCTCTTGCGTACAGTCGTGTTGGATTCAGCGAGTCGAATGAGCACGGTGCTGATGAAGCGTTCCATGAGAGCCGAGATTGTCACACCAGGCCGGATAGGTGGTAAATAAGACATGTCTGGCTCCGTCTTTGTATTCTCTAGGACGGTGGCCTGGAAGTGTGCTGCGTCCAGCGCAGTGTCGATGTAAACTTGGCCCATGTTTGTGAGCAGCAAGTTTAGCAGGATGTTGACGTCTTTCGGTGTGTCGAGTTGAGATCCTAGCTCGAGGACTCTCTGGACGCTCTCCGCCATCCATTTCAACATCCTCTTGGCATTTGCCACGCTAAGTATTCCATCTTCGTCTGATACTTCAATCTCGTTCTTGTCCTCTCTGTCTCCCTTGTCCTGAAGGCCAGCAACTCGCAGCATCATCGCTTTTTGCGTCTCCGACAGCTCAGAAGATTCGAGTCGCTCGAGATACGCGTCCTTGGCAGATTGTATGAGTTGCGTGCCTTGTTGGGCCAATGAAGCCATAAACCCGGATGGCGCCTTCTTACGCCTTGAGTGGAATATGCTAAACTTGAAAAGCAAAGAGCCGTAGAGTTCTTCCAAGCTCTTCCTTTCTCGCTCAATATAGACACTACCCACAAGAAAAGGGACAAAGAGCTCGTCCAACTGCTGGTCTAGAGCTTGTGCAATTTGCGCCGAGCAAGGCTCTGGGTGCTCAGTCAGGCCGTGCATCTTCAAATCTTCCACTAGAGAGCCGATATAACTCCTGGACGAGTGCAAGGATCTCAAAAATGCCAGTATTGAGACCGATTCGGCTTTGTCTAGAACCTTCTCCAACCGCTGCTGTATAGACTGCTGGAAGACTCGCTGAATGAACTTGATGAGAACCGTTTCATAATAAGGAAACGCTCGTTTAATAATGAATGATTCTTCCTGCATGACGATCTTGACTTCATCAATTAATGACTGCAAGCTCGGCTCGATACCTGGAGGTTCGATGTCCGGATCAGCCAAAGCTTCCCACATTTCGCCGTCAGCCGCCATTTCGTCACTCATAAGCTGATCTCGGTCAATGAAGAATTGATGCTGGTTTACAAAGACTGCAATGACACTCGCCCCTCCGTTGAAATCGTACAGCACTTTTGCGCATTCCATCATGTCATTGAAGTTCTGCCGCTTGTAGCTGTTGTTGAACTGCTGCAGCAGATCTTGTTCCAACGTCTCGCAAAACTTCTCGAGGATCTCACGGGTATTGCGTGCTCGATTTGTCAGTGTTGCAAAGCTGGCTATACTGGCTCTGTTGCCATTCCGTGTCCCCCAGGCCAGCGGGTCGAGCTGTTGGCTGATTCTCATTAGTTGGCGAGCAATGACGGCACATCGCACTTTGTTCTCGGCGCCGCCTTGCCGCCTAATATCTTCAAGAGAGGATAGTAATCCGGTTTCGCTAAGTTCCGTCCAGCAGCTTATTAAGAAGATTGTATCCTGTGCTCTTCTTCTCTTCTTGTCCAAGTCGTCCAGCTTCTCTCCGATCTGAACGGCGATGTTTCCGCCATTATCAGCCTTCCCGTTTACATCTTTTCCATTGGTACTGCCGGGATTTAATGAGATGTCAAGGGCTTCGAACGATTCCATGGTTTCGTCGAGCTTACGGCCGAGGGTATCGAGTGTCTGGTCATGTTGAATTTCGGCCCGGCGCACTTGGGAAAGAAGCTCGGATTCCCTCTCTTGGAGCTCGTCTCCAAGGACGGCAAGTTGAGATAAGGCATCTGAGAGAATTTTGTCAGCATAATTGTCCCCCTCCTCCCTCTCTTTTCTCAGGACTGCATCTCGTACTCTCAAAGCTGCGGATCAGCGGCTTCGGATCAAATGTTGTGGATTGTGTTGGCCCCGAGCGACGGCTAGAGGGCATAGCACTCTCTGCAAGACTATCCACAAAGTCCCTGACTATGAAATCCTTGTTGGAGAAGTCATCGAGGCTGAAGTTGGGGCCCTTGGGGAAGATGCTCTTGGGCCCGCTGGACCGATCCATGGTTGGCGAGCGTCAGGGCGAAGGCGCATCAGCGAGCTATGTGTAAGTTGCAATTGACGACCATCTGCAACTCCCGCTCATGAGTGCAATGTTCGACGGTCCGTCCAGCCAATCTGTCGCGTTGCGTCGTCGCGAAGCGCCAGCCTCGTGCGATTGTCGCTATTCGTGGAGTGCCTGATAGATACCTAGGTATGTAGCTCTGCCTCCTTGGAATACGTGACCCTGTAGCAAGCAGCAGAGCGCTATGATGCCTGCCGAGCCCCGCTACGCCACTTCTCCGGCGGCCTTGGAGCTGCGCCACACCCTGCCGTGGCTCGTCGGACCACTCAGGAGAGAGGACACATGCAAATCACCAGGTACAATTTTACAGGTACCCAGTTTGGTGAAAGACAAAGCAGCTCATTTGCATCGCCTCTCGCCCCAACTCTTTTCTCCCCAGCAATTTGCTGGATGGCCACGTCTTTGATCCTCCTCGTCCACTTGCCAGAAGGGCAGCCGCCACAACTGCAAGGGCGCGCACCGGCTTCGTTACCCTGAGATCGAGCTTTTGCCAACAACAAACCACCTAATACGACCGAGCTCGAAGCTTAGATCCTTGTACTTCTACAAACCTCGACTCTGAACAAGTTCGTTGTGGGTGAGACAGTCTTTCGAGACTGCAAATATTCAACATGCCCATGAACTTTGAGAACACCAAGGCATACAGAGCCGATGAGCAACTGGGCCATAGCCTTCTATCAGAGGCACAGAGACAGGCTATCTTCAAGGTAAGAACAATTTGCGACATCCAAAACTATGCTATGCCTCTCTGACATTCTTTTGAACAGGCCTCGCTTCCTTCGCCGAATGATGGATCGACCATCGTGAACAAGCCTGGTCAGGCACAGCGCAGATCGCGACTCGGAGTCCGACGGTTTATAAAAAATCAAATATTTGTCTTTGTATTCGCCCTTATGCATGGCATCTTCTCTCTCTATATCAAATCGCGACAGACATGGCACGGCGTGTCTTATCAGATATCTTCTATTCTCTACTACCACCATGCCACGCCGCAGTATATTCGACGAGACATCATGGGACTGACCAAGAGGCCCAAGCATCTCAGCACAATCTTGAAGACCGAGGGAAATCATAGGGCGAAGAACGACCTCGACCGATTGATTGAGGAGACAGCTGAGCTTGCCACTTGGTGTGCATGTGCAGAGATTCCCATGCTTTCAATATATGAGAAATCAGGTGAGCTCACAATCAGCCCTTTTCTGGACATTTGATAAGCCAGTAAAGCTAACACTACATTACAGGTGTCTTGAAGAAGCATATGCCTCGAGTCTATGAGGCCGTCATCCAGAAATTCACTTTCTACTTTGGCGCCGAGCACCCGACACTCTCTGTAACTTCTCCCCACCAGGATGAATTCCCCACTCGTATGCTGGAGGAGAGCAGACATGGACACTTGCAGCTTCATCTGATTTCCTACCAGGATGGAAGAGAGTCTATCGTGGATCTTACGAGAACTCTTGCCGACATGTCGCAACGGGGCAAGATCTCCCCGCGAGATATTTCCCAAGAGCTCATTGACGCCGAGCTATCGGAGGGCATCCTTCCAGAGCCCGACTTGCTGATTCTATTCACTCCTTACGTCGAGCTGTCGGGCTATCCACCGTGGCAAATCCGACTGACTGAGATCTTTTGCCTACAAGACAACGAGACGTTCGGGTACCAAGTGTTTCTAAAGGCTCTGAGAAATTTTGCTTCTGCGCAATTCCGCCGTGGCAAATAAATCAAGCGAAAGCTTTTTTTCTCTCGTTCTCCTAAAGATATCCATTCTCGTATAGATAATGCATATACTTTTTCTATCATGAGGGCTTCCACAGCACCATGGCTCGACTCGTCTTATCCCAACGATAAACGGGACCATTTCCGACGTTATAATTATAATAGTTTTCTGTCCCCTCTTTGATCTTGGCCCTTCTGAAAGTTATATTGATTCTTCCCCCATCCTCTTGATTCTTCCCTGTGCGTTTTGGTATAGAATGGAGCCAGTTAGACTGTGTTTTCCCTTTCATTAAGATCATATCTCCAGTATTTAATGGAAATTTTATAACTTTTGATTTGACAGGTGGATTTGTTTCCTGGTCTGGAGGCGCTGGCTTGTGCTTCATCAGAAAATCTCGTCGCGCGCCCAGCGAGAAGGAAGCAATGGCAGGCTCTTGGCCTAGAAATCTCTCATCATCGCTGTGAAACGAAATGCTGTCTGCGCCAGAAGCATAATAGTTGACCAGACAGAAATTAAATTTGCAGTCTGTAGCTGCCTCCGTGGATTGCCTAAGCTCATCGAGACATTGTGGTAAAGGCCGAGGAGAGGACTTCTCATAGCGTCTGTCTGACAGCACTTTCATTCCTGTATTTGCATCTACCACTGCTCCTGTCTCGTCAAACTTTGAGGTTTCGTCGAGTCCGAATACCGTGGTCCATCTTTCTCACTCATTTGTATTAGTTACACATTTTCTCCTTTGTCATATAGATTGAGCTATTGTATAGATTTTACCTTGGCGTGCGCACCTGAGTTTCAATGCCTCCTCGTTTGATTTGATACTCTACTTTATAAAAGGGCAATTCTGCTCGCAAATGCTGAAAGATCTGACGCGCAAGGTATTCGGGAATATAAGGCTCGTAATACAACAGATCCAAGTCTGGCTCGTTGTTGATGACCCGAGCAGGGCGAGCTGGTAAAGATGACAGCTCTTGGCTTACTGATGCTGGAAAATCAGTTATTGGAAATGGATACTTTTGATGCTGCGATGTTGTAGTCTATATGCTCGTCAGTAACCAGAGACGCAGCTTATATGTCAGTTATAGACATGAATTTAGGCGCACAATCTCATCTTGCCCATCTGGAGTACTTCTTTCCTCGACGATGTCGACGCGGGATCGCTTTGGAGCAGAACTGAAGAAGGCATCAATAGTTCTTTTCTGTGACATTATATTCTGTAAGTATATTCAATTGTGTTCTTGGAGCAAGCACAATGTGTAACGAGCATAAATAACAGAACGTGTTGATTTCCCTGGCAGGGAATCGTGACATCACAAGCCCAGCCTGAGCTCGCGCCACAGCGTCCCTTTGACCCACTTCCATCGCAGTTGAGATCCCTTCAGCTGCTGTGGCGGTGCAGGTACCAGGAGATGTACTCCGCACGCAAAATTTCACTCTCAGCCTTGGAACCCTGGTCTCAGTGAGTAATAGACGACGCTTGATCAGGCATATTCGACATGGAGGTGAGTTCACCAGACGCTTTATGATGTTACAGCTTATATATGCTTATTGCTAACTATGAGTTTCTTTTTTACTTTGGGAATCAAAGGAGTCAGATAAAGAGTATCTCATGAATCTCTTCCGAGCCCCTGCTGCCGCCAGGGCAGCCAAAACACTGGACAGATCGCTCTTTTCAAGAACGCTGCCCACGGCTGCAGCCTCTCTAAAAGACAACAAGCTCATTTCAAAGTATCGCAAGCAGCTCGAAAAGACAAAGGAAATCTTTGCGTTGGACAGATTCGATGTTTGTGCTGCAGACCCCGATGCGGCTCTTGCAGCCCGGGGGAAAAAATGCCTTGTGCTGAAGCCGCATATCAAGCCAGACGGTATGTTTCCATTGAGTTGGGGGAGTAATAATGCATACTCTCATAGTTGGAGAAGATTTGATAAAAAAAAAAACTAACTTTTGTATATCAAAGTGCCGGAGACATGGAGCCCGATTCTGCAGGAGGCTTCCAAGTTGGGAGAACTGAAGATTGTTCCGTATGAGGTGCACATTGGATATGATCTCTGGAGTTACCGTACGAGACAGTCAAAAAGCTTTGCGCTTACTCTTACTTGTGTGAATGTCTAAACTGACTCTGAGAGAAATAGTTGATGTAATGAGATCTATCCTACCAGAAGACTTACACGGAGAAATCCCCGTTGGCTTCAACACAGCAGGCCATGTCGGTAAGATAAGACTCCTTTGCTCTCAATAGTTGCATCTACCTCACAAATGGAAAGCGACCAAAGACTAATCCAGTGGTGTTTTGAAAGCTCATCTCAACATAAGAGGGCAGTACCTCCCTTACAAATCCATCATCGCCCAAGTCATCATGGACAAGAACCCAACCATCCGCACCGTCATCAACAAAGTGGACAACGTCGGCACGGAGAGCGAGTACCGCACCTTTAGCTACGAGGTTCTCGCCGGGCCCGACGACATGCTCGTCGAGGTTAGCGAGGCCGGTTGCCTGTTCAAGTTTGACTACTCAAAGGTCTACTGGAACACAAAGCTTGGCACAGAGCACCAGCGCATCGTCAGCTTATTCAAGCCTGGCGAAGTGGCCGTCGACTTGATGGCCGGCATTGGGCCATTTGCTGCTCCTGCTGGGAAGAAGGGAGTGTTTGTCTGGGCGAACGACAAGAACCCCGAGAGCTACAAGTATCTTACTGACATTATTAAGAGGAACAAGGTGAGTTTCTGCCTTTTTTTAGTTCTCCCAACCCCCCCATTCCGTCGACTAATCTCCCACGGAAACAGGTCTCTGAATTTGTCAAACCCTTCAACTACGACGGACACGAGTTCATCAGAAAATCCGCCGACCTGGTCCTGGAAGCATCTCAGCGCGGAGACTGCGCACTCATTCCCCAGAAAGTATCAAGAAGCGCCCCAGGCCCACGGCCGGAGCCCATCCGGATCCCCGTCCCCCCCACGGTATCCCACTATGTCATGAACCTTCCCGCCTCAGCTATAGAGTTCCTTCACAACTTCCGCGGTCTTTACGAGGGCCACGAGGACCTCTTCGCTCCTCACACCGAGACGAAGCTGCCAATCATTCACGTCCACTGCTTCGCCGTCAAAGCGGACGACTCTACGCCCCTGGACGACATTTGCCAGCGCATCGAGAAGGAGATTGGTGTTCTCTTGACGCCTGGCGACGACGCGGACAAGGACGACCAGGTACTCATCCACGAGGTCCGGGACGTTGCGCCCGCAAAGCGCATGTTTTGTGCAAGTTTCCGCCTGCCCTCAAAAGTTGCTTTTGCTCCACGATCCTAAGGCCGATGCTAAGCCGACCCAATCGCCATTGTTCTCGATATCGTTTCCTTTCCAACCCTACAGTACGGGAAGGCGTACGCCTCTTACGTGTTAGTCTAAGATGGGGGGAGGGGGTTAGAAAGAAAAAAAGATTTTTAACAAACTGTACTCGATTTTCCCCCGCCATGGAGATACCCGCACGGAGTAACTGATCAGCGGCTGGCTGGGCTGGGCTGGAACAAAGGGGTCTTGAGCGTGAAAACCTTATCTTCTAAAGGCCCGGACTCGAGGAAGCGCCGCCATGACGACAGATCAGCCAAATCAAAATCACCGTTCTAGGTCGACTCCCGGCGCCTTCTTCCTTTTTTTCCCCCTTCCCTAACAACTTTCAACGTTGGATGATAGCGCAGGACCTTTCCATCTTTGCATGCTCGCTTGGCGTGACGAAAGAGATAAAAAGCCACAACCCACAAAGCCAGTAAAAGCTTGTCAATTCTTCTTCTGTTCTCAATGGCCATTGAGAATGGGAAAAAACGGAAAGCATAAATTTCACTTACAAGGCAAAGACTTCCTACATGAGTAAGAAGAAGTCATAATCCACACCAGGGATTGCAGAATGTAGCATATGTGTCACCTCCACTATCTCTTCTCTCTACACTGAGAGTTGCTATATCAACTTGCTATACTGGATGAGCTTAGCTACTCTCTGGCTGGTCATCATTTAAATTCCAACTTAACGAGGCTATACCTGCAACTCTGTGTCATCTATTTTTGGTAAAGGGAGTGCTTCGGGCTGTGCTTTACACAAGCTTCAGCTAGCTACCTGTCGAGTTGATTTAGATTATAGTTATTACAGGGCAAGGAACAAGCTCAACTGTCCATGCAAAAAGCAAATAGAATTTCTTTTTCTTCTCCCCAGAAATTAAATCAGTTCATCATGATTCTACAATTTGTCATATCTTCAATGCTTGCTCGTCCCGTACAAGACAGCAATTGACTTCCACTTTCCCCTCTCCTCCCCTCACCTCACCACTTATTAAGCTCAAAACACTATCCACCGTCTCCACGAGCCGAGGAACTGTGTTGGTGATATGAAATCCAAAAAAATCTGAACCCTCTGCATGCTGCAATATGCCTCTCTTCTTCATAGCACCAAGCCACTATGCTCCAAGCCACTCATCCATACAGTTATCTATCACATTTCCCCTCCTTCAGGACGTTATTAACAGCAAAGCGGCGTTTCTCCAGCCCATCTTTTTTTCGCCACCGGTCTAAACGGTAGCTCCTTGAGCCACGGACAAATCCCAGGGACCACGTTTGCGCGGTAAATGCTGCTACTCGCAGGGCAAGGGAAGAGACGAAGCCACCTGTCTTGGCTTTTCCCGGGCACAACGCCACGTGAGCTAGATTCGCCGGATGCAAGGATCGCCTGTAGGGAAAAATCGGGGATGTGACTATGATGCTGAAGAGTAAGAAAAGGTCTCGGTCCTTATCAAGTTCGCTAATGAAGGTAGCAGGCCTCTTGGCGCCATTTGATGTGAACACACAAGAGGTGCATTTAATGAGCCTTGCGCCAAAGAGCAGTTTTCTCTGACCTCCGTCTGTCGGTGTACAGATATGACTGCAAGCCTTGGCTGTCAGCCAAGGCAAAAAGAAAAAGCTTGGCTCAGGCTCTTTGACAGGATTGGTCCTTTCTATCCTGGCTCACATTGGTGGTAAACATCCCTTGCCTGGGAGATAAAGAGTCTCGTGCCAAACAAGACAAAAGATCAACTAGGAAGTTTTGACTGCTTTTTCCTGTTTTGGATGTAAACCGACGCACGGATCAATCAGAGGAGATAACAAAGATGCCCCGGATGAATGATTTCTTTGAGTAATGCCTCCTCTCCCGGTGAGTGGTTATCTACGGAGCCCAATTTGTCCTGTATGTTGCGCAGAAAGCGCCGGCAGGGTGGGAGATAAGGTGCCGTGCCTAGCTTGCAGCAGGAAGTGCGAGATAGGGAGCAAACACCCCGGATTTGCGCGTAGCACTCTGGAGTAGCACAATAATTAATTTGTTCTCTCACCGGCTGCACAATGCAAGGGCTAATGCAGCCATGTAGGCCGCCATTTGAATTGACAGTCATCGCTTGCACCCGCGGATGCAGGACAAGAAAAGTATCGTATCGTCCCTTGGGGTTTCCGATATAAAAAGTGATTCATCACCAGACCACTCGGTATGATTGGAGCCAACGCGGACCCAAGGGGGGAAAAACTCTATCCACGGAGCCAGTGATTATAAAACTTTTGTGCTGTTCCAGTCCAGTAGTACCTAGACTGTATTGGTATGAGGTTGATATGCGGCCGAGGCGAGCGGCATACGTTGGAAACATTCATGTCGCGCTGTAAGAAATGCAAATTCGTAGTGACATGCACGAATATGACTATTGGACAAATGCAGCCGATATCACTCGTAACCTAGGCCAGCTCTGTTAGCCCCCCTGCGAAACAGGGATCCGGAATAAAGAGCCGAGATATGAGATGTTATTTTGAGAAATCTTGTATTCGGGATCGTAGTTCCCTGTCTCCATCCCGAACCGAGCCCAGGTCGGAACAAATCGCCGCCAAACACGATGACGAGGCAGAGCCAGGAGCCAGAATATACGCAGGCATGCATCGCAACGAGTAATGTTCCGCGTATTGTCTCTCCATCAATGAGGGAATATTCCCAGGCTCGGATGAGCTTGTACGACGCATCGCTTATGTATGCGTGACAAACGAGCAGATGACGCCCCAGTATGTGCTATACCTAGCTGTGCTAGGAAGTTTTGCTTTGCAGGCGAAGCAGCTTCCAGCTCAGAGTACAGTACCTGTTTATGCATGCCCCTCTAGCTCAACGATGTTGGTAGGAGCTGGTAACGTACCGATGCTACCAAGCAGGGAAGATGCGGGTCCAGCAAGCAGACCGTGGCTCAGTGGTGATGCGGCGCATAGTATAGCTGTGCGTTTAGAGTGGAGAGTGAATCGGCGGCCTCGTAACTGCACGGTGATTTCCAATGTCTGTTCCGTATTAATGTTCCGGCGGAGGGGCGTGATGGCTACTTTCTCGCATCTCCGGATTCCTAGTTCTCAGACTTATACGCCCCCTCCGTATCGTAACAGAGTGCCATCTTGCGGGGCGCAGAATTGCTTATTGTTTGACTGCCCCTCTTCTAATATAGCGGATATCGGCTCATATATTCCGCTGAGCCTTTTTTCCCTCAGAGTCCAGAGGCATTGATAGGAAATCCAAGTGGAAAGTAATTTTGTAAGCTGTTTCGATGTTTCTTGCGAATTGAGATCTGATAATCGTCAGATCTCAGCATCGGCAACACCGGAGCCCATGGGCACAGAAACAATCGCAACACGGGTCCCTCAAAAACACCCTTCGGATTTTTTCTGAGTGAAGTGCAGAGTCGTATCAAGGGCCTCATCTGGCGGGGCCTCTGAGTAAACCGGCCATGTCTGACTGTGACTTGAACGCCTCTCCATGGCGCAGCCGAGCCGGATATTGCACCACTTGATATTCGCCACCGCGCTATAGCTGCAGCTCAGCGTCCAGTGTTCTTGTTAGGCGCGGGAGATATATTAGAAGAGTCTCTGCTGCAGGCAGTCGCAGTCCTCCTGCTATTAGCAGGACGCAATCCGTCCTAAAGAAAGAACCAGGGCGCGACGAATTGTGGGGGAAACAGGCTCCAAGCGCCGCATCCACAGGAGATTGTGCGCTAGTCATCACTCCACGATGCAGCTTGATAGGCCACTGACGGCTGGAATACTGAGTTGGCCGTCAAAGCTTGGCCCGGGCAAGGAAGCTCTGTGTCTTTTCGGTACCGTAAGATCCTGTCTGTGCGAACGGCGGACGTGGTTGGTCAGTAAAAGTTCGTAGGATTGGCCTGCAGTACCAGTCAAAATGGGGAAAACATCATGATGCTAGCATACATATCGCTTGCATCACAACTGCTTGGAGTACGCCTTAGCAGCATTCTGTTGGAGGGGGAACTTTGGGCCAAAGCGATACCCGCCTTGCCAGCCAAGATAGCTAGGAATGTAGAAAATCACCTAGGGGTGGATGGGGGATGATTTCCAGAGAGCTATCCGTAAAGGGGGGGGGAGATAGCGAGAACAATGGTGGTGTCATGGCTGAGCGAATGGCCGCGCAAGGCTGCCGCCCTTGCAAAGTATAATATACGAAGAGGCACTGCGCTTTACCTCAATTGAAGGAGAAAAGAAGGATATGATGGTGTGGAAGAGAAGAATTTCCATTTTTCTTTTCTTTCATCAAGATGGGCGCCTGAGGCTCGAGGCCATGCATATGCCTTGCGACCTTGGCAGTAGTAACGGCCATGCGCCTTCCTCTCAGCGAATGAATAAAACTTGGTGATTGAACTTCCAAGTTGTTATCTGGCAGAAACCACCAATGGCGATTCTTTTTTTCTCTGGCACCGAGATAGCATTGATCCCATGAGATGACCCAGTCTGGTCTACTATCTCAATTGATTGCTCTGCGAGTCTGTCTGTAAAAGCATTGGCGCTCATATTACATTTGGTATCCGAGACATGCAGCCATCGCACGTTGCGGAATACTGCCACGATGCCAAGATGGCTTCAGGGGATGGGATCTATCGAGACAGGGGTCCATCTACCCAAAATACTAGTCTTCATAGACGCGGTTCATCAGCCACAAAGTGCGAAGATCAGATCCTCCACACAATGTCGATCATGGATATGGAGCAGCAAACAGCTCCAACTAGCGTCTTCCAAAAAGGCCAACCGCGAGGATCAATGGATCCAAGCAACAATGGCCACGACAGATGCAAATCTGCTGATGCTACGATAATGCACCACCCTTCGCGGATCTTTACTCGATGGACAAGATAGACTAGATAATGATCGGATCCGGGCTGGAATCCTCCGAACCGGTAAGCATTATGCTGTAATACTAGGCATCTACAGACAACAGCCTGTGTACGAGGTGAATGCCGCACTTGCAGGATGCAATGCCGACACGTCTTGAGCACTGCTAATTTTGCTCTGTATTCCAAGTTACACGAGCGATTAGTTCAATGGAACCGAAACAATGCGACAGCTGTTCACACAGAACATGTTCTACAACAACGGGATATCTCGGGAGGCTCCAACGGACGGCTCACACCCGGTGGCGAATCGGTTTCTCAGTGGCTGCAACCACCAGAAGCGACTAATCTTTCCAGAACAAGCGAAAACAAGGAGTGAACAACACTATACAAAGGACCGTATCGAGTACGACAGCTTCTATGGCCATTGATGATCTGGCCGCTGGAAGAAGCTTCATCCTGGTGCATAGGTAGGTATCTGATATTGATACGTAATCCGGGGGAAGATCGAAAACAAGCGTGGTTTTAACGTGTTTGTGCATGAAGCTTTTCCCCTCGAACGGTACTCGATAAACTTTGCGCCAGTTTCTCTCCTGCATAAGGGCCTCTTGTAAGCCAGTCTCAGGTTCAGTTGACAACACGGGGAATTACTATTCCAGACTCTTCAGGAATCTTACTCTTTTAGCGTACTCCAGCTTTTTTGCTTCTTCCATACCCGGTAAAACTCCTCATCGCGCTGGAGGAGATTCGCTAGAGGAATCCGGAGTTTAGTCTTAGTCCTGATAATGGAGCAAGCGCTCCAAGGATAGATCTGCATAAGCGTAGGAAATTCTGCGACCGGCAGGCCTCCATTACCCGCTATCGTCAACGGCGCTCTGCTACTGAACTGCCCAGAGCTCGAACGGGCTCAGCCTCCCTTCTCCGAATGCTCTCTCGTGGTGTTCTAGAGGCTCGATGGGAATATCCCGCTCCGGCAGCACCATTGCCTCCTTCTTAGAACCTCGGCCATATAGCAAAGCCAGCCGCCACCACACCGGCCAGATGGCGAAATGCTACTCAGGTCCCAATAATCCCAGTGATGGCTAGCCAACCAAGGCTTCCATTCTTAGTCATTTTCAGGTCCGGCCCGCTTGTTATTCGCCCCCCTCCTTGCCCATCAGGGGGATGCTAGTAAGATGCAGCGAGATACTATAAAAAACTATAAGAAAAATTCAAAAGACGGAAAAGAATTTTTCTTACTCCCCCATAACGAAAGCAGAGACCCGTATTGTATCCTCTTTGGAGCCCAATGGACCAGCATCAATTTGTATTACTTGAGTGAAGATGTATGACAGCATCTTGACCAAACCCATGCGGGAAAGGTGGCGCTTTGATGAATTAGCATTTCTCAATGCATGCTGTGGCGTCCAAGACAGCAAACCTTGTCCTTTGTAGAAAGGTACTCCTAGCCACACTGTCCCGTCCCGTCATCTTTTTCTGCTCCGAAGCTTTGGTTGCGGATAGAGAGGGCAGGGATGAGAAGAAATTTTTTCTCTTCCAACCACAAAGGTCCCACCTCGGGGCCGTCCTCGTAAGCTGCCGCGATGTCCAAGAGAAGGAGTTGGCTGGAACTGGAACAAGGTAAAGAAGGAGAGTTAAAAAAAAAAAAAAAAAAAAAAAAAGGCATTTTGTGACAGCAAGGTTGGCATGGAACTGACTACTAGAGTCTCGACTCTTTGATCGGCGCTGTCGACCTCCACCTGCATCCAATGTCCATGTGGCAGTCAATTGGCGGGCCCCCTCAGACAGTCTGGAGTATAGAATCAAGTCCGGGGCCGAGCAACCAAGACACGATTTGATCGAAGCCAGTTGCTACCGGACCGAACTCAGAGACGCTGTCTTCAGATTTGACTTTGTGTCTCTCATTTTCATCTAGCGGTGTACTCTGCGCTCTGTACCATCCCCAGAATGTGACATGTTCTCCTACTGCTCTCTTGCGTGATGAGCTTGTACAGCACGGACTGGCAATGCTAGCCGCTGGCCTCTTATCTGCGACATCAGGGCTTACTGGTACGTTGGCAATCACAGTGGACTTGCTTTCTTCTGCGTCCGTCGGCAAGGGCTGGAGCTATTGGTGCAGCTGACTCCATTCCTGGGCGAGCACGAAAAGGCGGCGAAAAATTAGGCGTGGCATGGGATAGCAGAGTTGATTAAATGAGCTTAGATTTTAGGGCGCTCTGACCGAAGCCCGGACCCTGAGCCGACGATGTCGATGCTGCCGGACATGTACTTCTCGTGTAGTACCTAGACGCAGTGCATTCTTGAGAACTCGCTCGCTCTGTAGGCTCCGGCCTTCCCCTCTGGCCTCGTTATCGTCTTACTTTCTTTTTTTATCTCCATCTCTCGGCTATCAGGCAGGGAGGTGGACATTCTTGTCCAGCGGTGAAACTGCAGATCGCCAATCGCACTCGCAGCAAACAAGCGAGCCGAAGCTGGCTTGCATAGCCATAGGGAGCAGCTCTGGATAACGGCGTTAGCCAGAGCAGACTGCTGCTCGAGTCAATGGCCCTTGTTTGTATGTGTGGGCGGCCTTGGACGCACTCCACAATCGCCATGCTAGGGCCATCCGTGCGTCTTAGCAGCAGTGGTACATACAAACTAGCAGTAGTAGGTATATCAGTAGGTCGTGGTGTATGTAGCGATAGTACTTGTATAGGAGCTTCGAGGTACGTCAGAGACAGGTATATGCCCTGCTCTTGGCTTACACGGCAGCTCTGGAAGACAAAGATATGATTACCTTGTCCAGGTATACATACAGGCAATGCTTTGTACATGCCTCTGGCGAGACATGAAAACAGACGGCCGTCTTCGTCCTTCTCGGCGCCGGCGCTGGGCCAATGCGGAGCGACGTGTTCTGGTTGCATCGACCGATGGCTTCCAGCCATACTCGCGCCTCACCGGTACGGGTATGAAGCAGCTGCATGCTTGGGTGTGCAACCCCATAGCCGGTGGTGGTTGCACCGTGCCTTGCCAATCTCTCGAACAGGAAATGGCTCCAAAGGTTACCAAACAGGTTCGGTGCACAGTCCTTAGGAAGAGTAGGTGTCGTCAATGTCCATATCTCCATATCCATGGAGACCCGCGGCCGAGCAGGCACCAGGAACGGGGCAGACAAACAATGTTGCAAGGCAACAGACATGGTGGTATCCAAGGCTGCTCGGACAATATCATCTCGTTGTCTCGTCCAAGCAGCAGCATCTAGGTGATTGGGCTTGCAGCAAAATGCCGTATAATGCAGCCGCAATCTAGGGGCAGGTCATATAGCCATCAAATTCAATATACCTACCACCACCAGTCAGTAGTTGTACATCCATGCAGGCCTCGCACATATACAAGAACACCACCCGTCTTTGCCTGTGCAGCACCTCCTCATAGCGGCATGTACTCGCGATGCCTCCATAATAAACAGCAGAGCCGAGCCGAGGAAACGGGCGACGTACGGGTACATGGAAGCGCGGTATCTCGCACCATCGCCAGCAGTACACCCTCCCGCAATGCCGCTGCGTTTAGTTAGGTTCGAGTCTGGCCTGCTCCGTAATAAATCGAGACAACATGCCGATGAGCCAAGCAGGCCACAGGTACACCACGCCGGTTCAACGCTAGCACCATGCCTTGCCATGCCATGCCATTCCCTGCCTGGCATGGCTCTCAGCATGGCCGCTGGGAGCTTGGATGCCTTTCGAGCCTGTCGTCAGAGTTCCGTGCCCTGACGAATCCCTCTCGCGTATTTGCCTTGCCCTTGGACACCTTAAGTTGCATGCCTTAGCTCGCGCCAGCAGCCATCTGCAGACAAAGGGCAAGTCTCCAGCCTCCACCGCCGCCCTCGTCCCCCTTCATCAACGGCGCCTCTGAAACCTCAGGCCGCGAGGATGCTAATAAACTCTGGTATGGCGTCTTGACGGCTTGGGGTGTGGAGGGCTGGCTCTTCTGGAACTCATGCTAGTGGCCCGCGCAAGAGCCATCCGGATTCCGTGAACAGCGCAGGCCCAAACAGGCACAGTGCCGCCCCAAGTTCGTCCACTCCACCGCCGCAATGCAGTCGTAGCGGCGAAACCGCAGAGAGGCAAAACAAGAGAAAATTCAAAAGTCTAGCGAGACCAGGGTTGATAACTGTGCGCCTCTAGGCTCTGGGTCCTGCTGCCCTGCCGTCCGGCTCTTCCACTGGCTGGCTGGGCCCTCCAATAGCCCAACGGAGGGGGTCGATGTGTTGCTGCTAGCAGTAGTAGCATCGCAGCGTCCAGGATCAGTTGTTCAAGCACCATCCGGCCGGGCTTCCAGTCTCTGCGGTTCCCGGGGCCTCGTCAACCACTTATTACGCCTCCGGATCCGCTTTGCTCGAGCGCTGTTGTTGTTGTCTGGATTTTGTTTGCACCGGCTCGCTGCTAGGAGAGAAGGCTTCTGACTCTTCCCCTCTTCCTTACTTATCTCCTCTCTCCTCCCTTCCTCCACGACTTGCTGTGTGTTTGATATTCTTCTTCTTCTTCTCCTCTTCCTCCTCCCTCTCTCCTCTTCCTCGTCTTCTTCATCTTGCGGCCTCGCCGTATGTGCTGGCTGGGTTGTTCCTCTCGTTTCACCATTGCGGCTGCTACCCTCGCTCCACCCCAGGCTGTTAGTCACCTTCAATTTCGAGAGAGATCCAGAACGGAGCCCACAGCCACGGACCTCGTCTTTCGGCATCTCCTGTCATCAATCAGTCACCTGGCCACCGAATAATTTGCCTCGGTCCTTGTCGATTTGAGGCATCACCTGTTCTCGCTCTGTTCTTCTTGCTCTTCTTCTTGCTCTTCTTGTTCTTTTCGTCTTCCGCAATTGCTTCTGCTGGGCTCGGCAAAAACCGCCCATTCCTAATTCTACTTGGCCAGGCACGGCACCGGCTGTGTGTGTTTTGCGTGTTTTGTGTGGGTGCGCAGGTGACCTGAAAATCGGCTGCCACTACCGACCGAACCTGCAGCGCTGACAGCCTCATCCACGCCCTCTCATTCGTCCACACTTACACCATCGATCCGTCCCCCAACAAACAATCGTCGGCGTCAATGCTAAAACCGGCGCCTTCTCTTCTCATGGTTTTCTGATTCTACGCTCAGAGCTCTGGAGCCGCCACCGACTGCCTCTGTCGGGCCGCGCACGCATTTCGAATCTTAAAAGATCCAGCATGGCTGCCGCAGTCTACAACCAAGACTCAGACTACTTCAAATCTGCTCCGATGCGGCGCTCACATTCCCACTCCAACCTGGGCAGCGCCTCGCTGGCGGGCTATCACCACTGTGGCCCAGACCTGTCCAATCCCTATGCCCACCCTCCAACCAAGTCTTTTTCGGATTCCGACCATTCCTCGGCGCCCTCATCGCCTCGCACCGCGCATATCGAATCAGCAGATGCGTCCTACACATCCACGCCTTCTAGCAACCTCTCAATAGCCTCGGATTTCGAGGAGACCTTGTCCATAGACGAATCCCCCGAGGACCACTTCAGCCTGCCACCCTTTACTGCCGATAAACTCTACCTGCCCCCGCAGATTCGACCGGATGACAACCTGGAGCCTCCGCCGAGTCCTCGCACTGGTGATTCTTACACAGTCTCGCCCGCCGAACAGGACAGTTCCGTCAGCACCTCACGACCTGATAGCCCTGAGCTCAGCGACCATGCCGAGGATGATACGGCAGTTGTGAGCAAGCCGTCTCGGCAAGTGGACTACCTATCCCACGAGTGGAGGGAAGAGGATATCTGGTCATCATGGAGATACATAATTTCTAAAAGAGGAGAATTTCCCAACAGTGCTAGACTGGAGAATGCGTCATGGAGAACATGGATGAAGGCTAAGAACAATCTAAAAACCATTTCCCCAGAGACACTCAACTGGTAAGTCTGCTCGGCCGGAGTGCGATGATTGCAAATAAGTGTGTGCTCATGTTTTTTTAGGCTAAAAGATTACGACGTCACTTGGCTCTATGGACCTCTTCAATCTGGAAAGCATAATACTGCTAACAAGACTGGGCCCCCAAGCGTCTCATTATCAAAGTCAAGTTCTCTTGTCAACTTGGACAAGATGAAGGATACAATGAACAACAATAAGAAGCCCATCTTGAAGAAGAGGAGCATGTCGGAGATTATGCTCCAGAGGTCACTCTCGACTGCTTCCCTTGTCAAGCAGGCTGCTGCTGCCGTCCACGCTCAGGAATATCGCAGTGCCATGCGACGACCACAAGTAAACCGGGCAAACACGGATTACATTTCGCTTTCGTTTTCTTCCAGACGGATGAGCCAAGAAAGTAGCAGTGCCGCCGCTACGTCTACGGATTCATCGAGCATTACATCCCCCAACACCGAACGCAGACATATTCACTTCAACGAGCAGGTAGAGCAGTGCATTGCTGTCGACGTCAAAGGCGACGATGGAGATGACGTGGACGTGGACATGGACCTGTATGGCGACGAAAGCGATTCAGACGATGGTGTCATGATGAAGCGGGTCAGGTCAAAACGACGCCCATCAACAAAGAAACGCATGCAGAAGAAGATCAATGCTGAAGGCAAGATCATCGCCATGCTTCCGTCTACAACCCTCAAGTACCAAGGAGAAGACAGCCCGGACTCTCAAGATTCAGCTATGAAGCACAGCACACGTGCCTCTCGCAGTCCTGTTCTATCTCCTTCGTCATCACAGGAAACTCTCCGCCCTTCCAAGTCATCTACTGGGTTTTTCTTCGACGAAGATGAAGACGACGATGATCTGGCTCCGGAAATTCAGATGCCTACTCTGGGTTGGCTATCTCCACCATCAGAAAGTGGTGCCGGTGGATTGCACAGATCGACATCTTCAAACAGCCTTCTTGACGAGCCAGCGGGCATGCGTCGAACGCCTTCGGGGATGTTTATGCCATGCGAAGAAACCGAGACGTCACCGGGGGAAGGCATTTTTGGCCGAGTCATTGACACTGTCAATACTGCCCGCGACATTGCCCATGTCATCTGGAATGTTGGGTGGCGAAAATAATCGCGGGAACCGGCCAATCGTCGGTAGCATCATTCAATTGGGCCAACTGGCCGATCTCTCAGACTCCATCACGATGCCACGAGCAGCAGAATGATCCAAGCGCGCTTGATTGGCCTCTCAACAACGTTCTTGACCAGCGCCAAGCCAAGCCTGGACCCTCGAAATCCGGGGTCCAGCGTTGCATTACGCATTACCCGCTGATTTGCGCCTTGACAGCAAACTCGGCCAGCTTCCATTGATACATTACATAATAATTCTTCCTTTATTCGCCAAATGAGCGTCAAGTGGGACTTGGACTTTGTCTCCCATTTTGTTGGGCCTGGCACTACGACCAAGCCTGGGCGTCATCAGGAGGCGAAAGCACGCCGAAGCTGAAATGGTAATATTCTCCATGTGGACACGCCGATGTCACGAGATGCCGTTTCGGTGGTCGGGTGACTTCATTTCGGCCACCTAATTTCCTTCACTAGTAACTCAAGTTATTTTCTACCACCTGCTTGGCTCAAACAGCGCTAGGGGTGTTATCCCGGCTATACGACGGCTTATGACAAAACACGTCTCTGTACCCATTCCCTTTTCTTTGTTGATCTTTCTCATACGACAAGACCAAAAGAAGCATTTATTTTATTTTTCCGGAATACGACTGTCAAAATCTAGGGCGGCTCATCAAAGGGTTTTTACTTTGTTTTATATATATTCTCATATTCGAGAAGAGGCGTGCTGTTGCCTACTTGTTCGAACATTTGTGTTTTTGTTATTGTTGCATTAAAACAAAACTTGTATTTCTTTTTTTCCCTAATTTTTTTTTTTTTTTGGACGTTCAAAAGGCAAGTTTTTGAGGAGGGAATAATTGGTTCAGGATCTTTTGGGTATATATGGCATTGGGTGGAATTGGGGGGGTTTCGAAAAAAAAAATTAGCATGGAAATTTGGATCGAAGTAGACAGACCGTTTGTGCATAGGAATATACAGCACAAGCAAACGAAATGAAACAAGAAATTCACAATAACAACCTGGGCTCCTCTACCTGAGATGTATGTACAGTAGGTTACAATTGGGGTACTTTTTAGATGCTGCTACTATTGCTACTACGGTAGTACTGCTAGATACTCGACCAATGGCGGTGATATTCAAAGTGGAGTGAGTAATGCTATTTGTATAAATTAATGAGACGTATGGGTTACATGCTGTCCAATCTTTAGGTGACTTAACTTTACTCTTCTCGTAAAGAGCCTTTTGAGTACGCCCGTCTAATTGATCATACAGCCAATCCAACCCACAGAAGGAAGGAAAAAAAAAAAAAGGACACCCCCAGAGACCGTGTTTGGGCCTCGGCCTTCTTTTCTTTCATCCTTGCTTTGAATGACAGGCGTAATACATACACGGGTAGTAGTAGGTATGTATATACAAGGATACGTGGAAAGCAGGGGGGTATTACAACAAGCAAAATATGAGAAGGAAAACGTCATTCTAGACGGGGGGTGGGAAGAAAGAAAAAAAGGCAAATGGATTGACGGATTGCGGTCACGGTAGCGAGCGGGCATGCAGGGGATTGGCTATTAAAATCTTCGTTCCTTGTATATTCCTGCAGGTAGTCCTTCTATGGGAGGCCGCGTCATCTACGCCAAAAAAAAAAATATGCAGCAGACAAAAAGAAGAGGCTTGTCTGTCTGTCTGTCCAATAGGTAATAAAAAGGGGGAGAGAGAGAAGTAGTATATGATACATAGCCAAGGTGGCTGCGGCACGGCCTGAAACGGCGTGCATGATTCTGCGCCCGTATACGTACATGAAGACGATGTTACTAGCCAGTCCCCCGTGTGGTGCATGGCGATAAAAGGTGGCAAATTTCGAGGCAGAAGGTAAATGATAAAGGGGATAGTCTGTTCCCAGCTGCATAATTGTACCGGTACTTCGTGCTCCAAAACGAGACAAGAGCGTACTATGTGTACAGGCTGTCTGTCAGTGTTAGGCGTCCTCCAAGTTTGCTCCCAACAAAAGGCCCCCCTGGAGAGTGGGGCCCGTCAGATGCAGCAAAGTCTGGGGTAATTCATACATATGCGGGGAGAAAGGAGTCTAGGAGTGGAGTGCACGAAGCCAACCAGAGACTGCCAGCGTCTGTAAGGCCAGAGAGAGGGGAGGTAAGAGGAGCCAAAAAAGGGGGGGTTGCATATGCGGCTGTGCGGTGCATTGGGTTGAAGGAAACCATCCCAGGGTGCACGAATGCCTGCTTAGGTAGGCGTGCGTGCTGCAGACTTGCATGGTATGGCTGCAATGCTTCTTTGCCCGATAGCATATACTGCACGTCTTCGTATCATTTGGTATCCAATACATGCGAGATGCCTTTGGGCCGAATGACTCCAAATCTTGAATTGCATAGGTGCGGCATCCAGCACAACTTATTGACCACATGTTCACCGATTTTGACCAGGGCGGATAAGAACAGCTTGTGTCTGTCTGCCGGTCACTGATTGCTGCAGTGTGTCATGTCCAGCCAAATGCGCTGCTCATGTCAGGGCCGGTGTTGCGGACGCCTCTATGCTATCAGCGGGATTAGGACCGAGATACTTGAGGGCTTTGACGAGGATGCGCCGCGAATGGACGTTCACATCTGCAAGCTCGACTTCGAATTGGTCTCCAACTCGGACGTCCTTGACGAGGGCCTTGTGATTCAAGCCCTCGATATCCATTATCGCATTTAGACCGAAGAAATCCACTCTACCAATGCAGCCCTGCCGCCAGCGCGAACTAACAGTAAATCGGAGCTTGCGAGGTGCCGTCTTCTCGAAGCGCCATGCACGGACAAGGGCGATGAGGATCCACTCGAGGATGCCACGAGAGACTGTGCGCGCCATCTTCTCGCGAACCTCCAACAGCGGAAGGGTAGTCGCGAGCTGAGTGGAAGAAAATGGAAGAATGCCATCCAAATCATCAGTCTCCGGATCAATGGTTCGCTGAGTGGTTCGCTCGTGCTGTAAGGCTGCATGGATTTGCCAATGGACAAGCAAGTCAGAGAAACGACGCAGCGGCGATGTGGCTTTGGCATACATGTCCAGCCCAAGGAGGAAGTATGAGCCTGGCTGACTCGATATCTCGATTCCGCCAGTGAGTCGAGCCAATTCTTGTCGCTGGCTGCCGCTTGGCTCAACACCCTTCCTGATGAGAGGGTAAATCTCCTTTGTGGCGTAATTGAATGCTTTATCAATACCATGTCTAAACTTGACGTTCCTCCGGTAGGGAATTGGGATGCTGCGAGACGAACACCATCGTGCCGCAATTTCACCAGCTAGAACCATAGTATTAGAAACAACGGAACACCCCGTGGATGTCTCGTAGGCGGCTTTGATATATGGATCAGGCGGCAGGATTTTTGATCCGTCTCCTTCCCCAGGAGTATCATGGAGAGTCACCGAGACGGATGGGCGAGGGAAAAAGTATGGCCACGCTCCTTTTCCGAGACGCTTGCTTTTGATAGCCTCGGCGAGTTGATACAATAATAACAAATCTTCTTTGCCGGATGAGTCCAAATCCCGGGCTGCAAGCATTGGACGATTTAATTGCGGCTCTCCGTTCCCTTCTGGCTTTCCGACGACGAGACTGTAGCTAGGAACAGGCGGCGGTGTTGGCTCTTTGCAGAATTTAGATACGTCCTCGGGATCCAGGTAGACGACCTTTCCGAGCGTGCTTGGTTCAACCTTGAAGTCTAGCAACTCGCCAGCTCTGTTAACTCTTGCACTGAAAGTTAATGCCGGACTTCCTGATTTGAGTGAAAACTGACTAACAAGACCATCGGAGGCATAGTCTTTGGCGTCGTCATCTTCGCTCAAGTTAGAAGGTAGCATGGCTTGAAAGTGTCCAGGCAGGTATATGTTCTCCGGAATCAGCTCCATGTATTTGCACAGTTCAGAGTTTGGCTTAATACTTGATGCAGGATCGGCTGCATGGACGTGCAGCCAAAACTCGTCAGGGTTATCTGTGCGCTCCAGTGAGATACCATCATCAATAACCATAGTCGACACTGCGTCAATACAAAATATTGTAGACTGCCCGTGCTCTCGCCTGAAGCCCGCTGCAATGTCTGGCCGCTTAGATTCTTCGAGATTGCTGGGAACTTCTCGTTCCAAGCCGCCACCCCTGGCTATTGTGACGTTTGGGAAACGGACTTTGTAACGTGACGGGATTTCCCACGGAGGAATGATGCCAATTTCTTGCAAAAATGTCCAGGCCGTGCTCTGGTCGAGAACGGTATCATCGTAAAGTTCGAGGGCGCGAAGAATCAGGGCGCCGTGACCGTGAAATTTCGACCCGGGTTCGAAAAGATCATAACTCGCCCACCATTCCAAGAAGGCAATGATATCCTTGCTTGCCGGAGACCACTCCGTCTGTGGCAGCTGCATAGCGTCTCCAGGAGCAAGGGTACCATGGGGCGTCCATTGTCGTCTTGAGCGGCTCTCCAAGATTGCTTCCCGTGCCTGGAGAATAAATTTCCCCAGTATAGTCTCCTCAAGCTCGTGTGGTTTTGGCGCTCTCAGGCGTTTCATGTTAGTTTCTGTGTAGTCGCGGACCATAGTAACAACCTTGTTGATGATTTGCGAATGACTCTGAGGGAAAATTTCGAATAAATGGTCTTGACGATGGCAGTCACTAGACGGGCTGAGTGGCCGAAAGCCAATCTCATTTTGATATAACGCTGCATGGACAGCATATAGTGCAAAAGGGGGGAATTGGCCGCGTACTTTGAGAGATGCAGGCAGTAGTATATCGGCAATCTCAAAAAGGCTCAGATACCTGGCTTGTTGCTGAGTGGACAAAAATGTCCTGACTGCATCCAGCTTTGCGAGGTTCTGTTTCTGCACAGCCTCTGCTTTGAGCCTGAAATCCGTCATTTTTTGGATAAGCTGAGAGCCATCATCTCGTAAGGGGCCCTGTTCGTTGCGGCGGAGTTCTTCAAACTGTTCAATTGATGCCTTTCGTGGCAACTTTGCCATCACAGGCGCCAACTCTTCCTGTGTAGCAAACTTGGCCACCGTGAATAGCGGAGAATAGCCCATGCTAGTGAGCCATCTACCATTAACAGCATAGAAATGATTCCTCTCTCCAAAGTACCCTAGGTAGATTGCAAAGAGGGGCACGCGCGAGCCAAGTTGTCTGAGACGGATGTTAGTATTTATGCTCCCAAGGCCAGGCTGGCTGGTTCCTTACTTCAATTCAACGAGATCACCAGGATGCCTCGAACTGTCACTAACAGCACCAACCTGGACGTCTTCATCGCCTACATCGTCGCCAAATTCATCCGTCATTCCAGCTTTATTAGGCCGCAGCTGGTCCATATCGGATGAGCCTGTCGATTGAGTTCGACTCAAGTCATTTGAGCCACTGCCGTATAGGATCATATCTGGAGGCATGCCATCAGAGTTGCTTTGCTTGTCTTGAGCAGCCCATAGCCGCAGCCGTTGGCGAATTGGCAAGTAGGGGACATCTTGAGGCGTCAACTTCTGCTTAGTCACAGCTTTTGGTATATGGGATTGCCCATATCTTCCCCGAGGTTGGGATTCACTGGTAGTGCTCGCCCAATGCTATATAGACAATGTAAGTAGAAACTTCACGACATGCCAACAAATACAAACTCACCACTTGAAGGCTTGAAAGAGCTATCCTTGACTTATCAATAGTAGGTCTATTTTCTGACCCATGTTTGATGAAACGACAGCGGCTGCGAGACAGATACTGCCGATAAACGGACTGGCAGCCTGGTCGGGGCAGCATCATGAACATATGCTACCACCTATTTTAAGATCAGCTTGCGCAGTGAATTTTTCAAGCCTTATCTGATCTGCTGGAGGTGTGGCGCCAGCTATGGGTGGCGCAACTGCCATTGTCACGTGAAATTTGGAGTAGTTGTGGCTTGTAAAACCCCAGTTTTCCCCCAGCTCAGCCGGGGTCGCTGGAGAATAAACTCCCACCACCAACAAGCTTATCGAAAGCGCGTATGGAATATATTGCACATCGGGCAATGACGCCCATGATGTCATTTGATGGCTTCAGAGCGGTGAAGGAATATCGGAGTTGGCATTCCAGATCTTACTATGGGCGAGCTGTATGAACCACGAGGTACGGAATACAGCAGTTTGTATTGCTCCAATAATGGCAGCTTCCGCTGTCTCAGACATTTGTTCTCTCTCCCTGATTGTCCTGGCAACACCACAGAGCGGAAGCGAGCCCACGCTTGGAATAAGCACCAAGCCGCCAATTAGTACTTGCACTATTTTGAGACAAATTACAACATTTCCGATTGTATATTCCTCCGGAAACGGAAGCCACAGTCTAGAGCTCTTGATCTCAGGGTAAAGTAGGCTTGAGATTCAGCCATCGGTTCAATGAAATGTTGAGATATTACCTACTGCTCGCTTGAAGCAACTCAAGCGAATCATGAGTGAAATTTAGCTTCTGACTGTCCTTGCAGATCCCCCAAATTCGCAACAATTTCATTAGGCAAGGCAGGTCCGTTCCTTGCTCTTGCATCAAGCCACACCTCCTAAGAATGGCAGCAACGCTGGCCAAAACCACGAAAGCTACAGGGATCGGAAAGTGCATAGGAAGGGGGAATCTCCTCGCTTATTTCGCGCACAAATCTCGCTGGCTTGTCTTTACCGCAATAATGGTAGTATTTTTGTGCGCGCCGTATCTATCTTGATAGGCATCTGCTGTTTGATCAGAGCATATTCTTTTTCCCTGAACGCAATCAGTCCAGAGTCCTGCAGTACTTTGGCATCACAGCCTCCCGCCTGCATTGGAGGTGAACGGCGCGAACGCTACTCTGTGCTCTCACCACCCGCATCGCCCGCTACCGACTTTCCTCATCTGGGAGACACTTTGGAATATCGCCCGCCTATAATTCGTCCACACGGCTCCACGGCATGCCCTGCTTGCATCGCAAATTGAGGACTGGCTTACCAGGGGCCAAGCCAAGCGATCCTTTTGAATAGCAGGGGTAGGCACCCATTCTGCAAATACGAGAATTGCCTGAATAGTAAGACTGCTAGCGAGTAAGCGGCCATGATTGGGCAGATTCGGACCAGGCTTCTCGAAGCAGAACTGGCGCCCCTTTCTCGAAATGAGCTTTTTTTCGCAGCCCAGCAGCCGAGCCTCGACATTTGCTGCCGCTTCAAGAGCCAGCGCGACCCCAAGACATCTTAAAACGGGACCCTTGTCAGAGGGGAAAGACGGGCTCTAGCTAGGGTCAGCAGAGGAAAGGTCCCCAAGCATTGCGGAGAATCTAAGCTTAAAATGGTACAAATGCAACCTACCGCTCATTTAGCTGGTGGTTCACGACGCCCACTAGAAGACCGCCACGAACGACCCCAAGACTTGCGCGATGAAGAATTGCATGGGGAATCCGCCAGACCTCGAGCTATAGCTAACGCCAACACCGACATCAGAAACGCCGACAGACCGGCCGCCACACCTAGGCAAGGGACGGACCACGAGCTGGGCCTAATAAGGTGCGAGGCGTTCTGTGCCTGGCCCGCCGAAGCGCCAAGCGGAGTGGGCAGATGCAGGAACAATCTCGCAGACTAGTCTAGCTAAGAGTGGCTGGCCAATGGATGCATGGGTGAGATTGGCCCGAGGATGAGGATCGTCGCTCTACTTACTTGGACGTCGACTTGCCTAGTGCCTGTCCCTGCTCCAAGGGAGGGTTGAGCGCCCGGCCAGAATCTCAGATGACAAGACGATGCTCATCTCCCGGCATAGAGCTGATCAGCCACTCATCGCCCGTCACCCGCGCATGTCGCAGCCTGTGGGCCCATGGAGTTCCGGTTCTCAATACGAAGAAGTGCCTCTGCTCGGCCTACTGCGGCTGCGGCTGCGGCTCCCTGTTGACGAGCATTCCTATCGCCCAGTTTGACGCAGCTTCGCAGCCTCAATGTCGCAGCGCTGTCCCATTGTCCATAACACAGCTGCCTACTTCGTCCATTGTCAGTCGGTACAGGCTTCCAATCCAAGCGGTCGTCGCCAATTCGCCCCTTTCAAGGAGTATTCAAGCGCAAAATGGAAATTGCTTGGCCAAGCTCCACCCTCTCCTATTTGACTACGAAAAGCCGTCTTGGCCTAGCAGCGACTTTGTATTAGCAGGCCGGCGATGGACTCAAAGGTGACCAGAGTGACTCGTCCTCTGTCCACCCCCCTCTCTTTCCACCCCTGTCATTCCTGCTCTAGCTGGGGCAGTACCTCGTCTGCAGCGGAGGATTCCACAACCAGCTAGGTATACGTTCCGACCGATTGTTGGCGAGCACACCCCGTAGCCAGACAACAACGAGCCATGCTACCCGCCTCCACGCGCACCGCCCGTACTCATAATAATGGCCGCCTTGCCCACCCAGCCCGCCGTTCCCTTCTTCCTCTCTTGTTCCCTACGGATCGTCAAATCGAGGTCTTGAAGGAAGTTGCTTCCATTCGCTTTCCTCCTCTTGTTCTCCAGTAACCAACTTACCGCTTCACTCTTTCAGCGGGCATTCTTTTTTTTGTACTTGATATTCCTAATAGCCGAAAACCTTGTATTCATAATGAAGGGAACAATCGCCGCCGCCGCTGTGGCTGCCTTTGCCGGTGCTGCCAACGCTTCTCACGGCCACCGCCACGCCCACGAGCTCTTCGCCGCCAAGCGAGCCCAGACCGGCGATGTCTGCGTCCCGGGATGCACCACCATCTGGTCGACCGTCACCGGCGAGCCTACTTGTATGTTGATCGGCAACGGCACTGCCCAGCAGACCTAGATGGTCCCCTCGAGGTTTTGGTATAAGTGTATGCTAATCTGTCCCATAGGGGTTCCTGCGCCTCCTCCTGTCACCTCTGCTGCTCCTGTGGCCCCTACTACCGCTCCTGCGCAGCCCACCACTGAGACTCAGGCTCCCTCAACTTCCGAGGTGATTGTTGTTCCTGTCCCGACGCCGACTCCCGTCTCATTCTCGACTCCTGGAACCTACACCATCCCGGCCACCACCATCACCCTGACCGAGTCCACCACCGTCTGCGGTGCTACCTCGACTGCGGTGCCCCCAGGAACACACACTGTCGGTGGTGTCACCACCATCGTTGAGACGGCCACCACCGTTACCTGCCCCGTTGCCACCGTCTCGACCAGTGGCACCGTTGTCACCAGCGTTATTGTCCAGACCACCTACGTCTGCCCTGCTGCGGGAACTTACACCATTGCTCCCATCACCACCACGGTCCCGGAGTCTACGGTCATCGTCTACCCCGTCCCCACCAGCTATGCTCCTGGTACCTACACCGCCCCTCAGAAGGTGGTCACCGTCACCGAGACTGACTATGTCACCTGGTGCCCCTTTGAGAGCTCTGGCCTCCCCACTACTCAGCCTGCTCCTACTCCTACGCCAGCTCCCGCCAGCTACCCTCCTCCTGCTGCTGCCAAGCCCAGCAGCTCTGCGCCGGTCTACGTTCCTCCTCCCGTCGTTCCCAAGCCCAAGCCTTCCCAGGCTGCCCCTAAGCCTAAGCCTCAGGCTCCTAGCGGTGGTCTGAGCGGCAGCAACGACCACTACGGTATCACCTACACTCCTTATGAGCCCACCACTGGAGACTGCAAGGGCGCTTCCGAGGTCGAGAAGGATATTTCCGATCTCAAGAACGCTGGCTTCCAGGTTATCCGTGTCTACTCAACTGACTGCAACACTCTCGAGAATGTTGGTGGCGCCGCTAAGAAGTACGGCCTCGATCTGATTCTCGGTGTCTTCGTCAAGGGTGACGGCTGCAGCTATGACACTCCCGATATCAAGAGCCAGGTTGACGCCATTTCCGCCTGGGCTCAGTGGGACATTGTCAAGCTCATTGTTGTGGGTAACGAGGCTATTATGAACAGCTACTGCTCTGCTACTCAGCTTGCTTCTCTGATCACCACAGTCAAGGGCAAGTGCAGCGGCTACAGTGGCCCTTACACCATCTCTGAGACTCTTAACATCTGGCAGCAGCCTGCTGTTTCTTCCGCCATCTGCCCTGTTGTCGACGTCGCTGGTGCCAACATCCACCCTTACTTCAACACCGCCACTCCCGCTTCATCCGCTGGTGACTTCGTCGCTGGTCAGCTCGAGCTCCTGAACAAGGTTTGCTCCGGCAAGGAGGCCATTAACCTGGAGTGCGGCTGGCCTAAGCAGGGATCATGCAATGGTGCTGCCTGCCCTGGCCACAGCGAGCAGACCACTGCCATTCAGTCTATTCGTGAGAAGTGCGGTGACAAGACCGTCTTCTTCTCTTTCGACGACGACATGTGGAAGCAGCCTGGTCCTTTGGGCTGCGAACAGAGCTGGGGTGTTGCAGCTGCCTTCTCCATTTCTGGCATCTACTAAACAGATTCAGAGTATGATACGCAGTGCACGATGGGTTCAACTACAGCGAAATGTCGTATGCCAGACAGGGCCACGATCGACAATCTAGAGCCAGTTCGGCAGTCCAGGCGGCCATGACGGCTTCAGATGCCGCTCCCTTACAAGAGATGGACCTGGTCTGGCTACCATTTTCTCTATGCTTTGGCGGGTATTGTGATATACGAGTCTTGTGGTTTTTGTTTTTTTGGGACAATTGCGCGGTAGTTCTGTATATGAGGTCGCCATAGGTCCGGGTGTATATTTTGCATCTGATGCTAATGCTGTAATTTATTAATTATTCCATGAACCTGTTATAAGCCGTGATGAAAGTGCGCCGTAGATCCATATCAAGTGTACACACCCATGTAAAGCTCACCGTGTGTGGGCGCCCAAGTTGGCAACACGATTGTGAAAGAGGACAAGTATTACAGAATTGATGTTACATCCGGCCGTGAGGTTGTTTTTCCATTGCTATTTTCTCTCCCTTTCTTCTCAAATAGAAAGATCAGATTAGGCCATTTACGAGCCAGAGATCTCACCTCTGCAAACCGCCTATTTACACTTACCCTGTAGACGACTGAAAATCTCGGCTTCAACAATGCATAACTAACCCATGATCATGGATTGACACGGTTTTGTTTGAGAATTCAGCCTTTTTTTTTTCTTTCTTCAATTTCCTTTTCTCTTAGTTATGAATCAGTGTGCACGCATTAGTAGGCGACTTTACACAGTTAATGTGGTGTACCATTTGTCATGTGTAAAAAGATCCTCGGTTTTATCATCTTTGCATTCCAAGTTATTTTTCCATCTGCCAAAACAATTTCTATCATGGCTACCTATTGTATAGACGAGTTCTTGCTTTCCAAGTAGTGTATATGCATATTGAAGCCCTAAACTCAAACCCACAATGTATACCTATGCTCTCACACACCCACTCGTATAATACATGCCACGCCTCACCAACAAACAGCCAAACCCCCTAAAAAAACAAATCAAGATGAGAAAGTAAAAAGTATAAAAAGATGAAAAGCCATTTCGTCCTATATGCCTATGATATATACCATTGTGTGTGTTTTTCTTTCGGAATACCACCATTCCTTTATTCCTAACCTTAAGCTACATGTGCCTCCCTCGTTGATCTTCCTAGCTTCAACCCTGGAAACGTAAAATTGGAAAAAATATGGCTACATTTCGACCACGACGCAAAAGAAACAATCTTGTCTCATGCCATATGTGGAAGAAGCAGAAGTGAAAAATAAGAAGAACAAAATAGGATGAGTGAGAAGAAGAACAAGGCTAGAATGCAAACAAGAAAACCGCTTGTAACCCGTACTTGTAAGCCCCCGTGTATCTGACTCAAGTGCCATGCTCAGAAAAACCTAACAAAATGAAAAAGGAGAACAGAAAAAAAGACAAGAAAAGAAGGAAATGGCCAGGGAATGATAGTGCAATTTCAGCCCAGTAAGGTTGGCTACTTACAAGGCCTCGCTTTTTATCGTGTCCTGTTCTTTTCTTTTCTTAGACAAGAAGGAAGAGCGCCTGATTTTCCCAAAACCACCTCTCTAATATTTTTGCTTTCTTGTCCCCCCCTTTTTAAACACTCATATAACAACAAGGGGAATAAATAAAATGAGTATCCAAAACATGCAGAGATGTAAAATTCATGAATCCCCAGGGCAAATCTGACCATGAGCAGATCCCAGGGCATAAAGATGTTCCAGGCTTCACCCTTCAACAGCCGTTTGTGTAAGGTGAAGGTACCAAAGATACCATGCCAGAAAAAAAAAAAATTGAAGAAATGCATGCTAAAACGAATCGAGCTCAAAAAAGGTAAAAATATGAGAATGAATAAGAAGTCATCACAGTCATAGGTAGAGGTAAAGGGAGGGTCCTGGTGAGAGACGTATGTGTGAAGTATGTACAAGTCAAACGGAGCTTCCTGAAACAGTGACATGAAGAGAGAGGAAGACAGAAAGGCGGATAATAATATAAAAAGAAACGGGTCGTAACTTCTTCACAGGATTGGTGTTTAGTTCTTCCAGTTACTTTGGTTTAGAATATACTGGGACCATCCATGAGTGGTGGTGGCCGGCTGTGTTGCCAGTCATTCCAAGTGGCCGAGAATTCGTTGTCTTTGTCGTCATCGTTGTTGCTGTTGTTGCTGTTGTTGATGTTGTTGCTATTGTTGCTATTGTTGCTGTTGCTGTTGCTGCTGCTGCTGTTGTTGCTGCTGCTGGCGGTGGCGGCGGCGGCGGTGGTGGTGGTGGTGGTGGTGGTGGTGTTGTTGTTGTCGTTGCCTGGAAGAGGCCGCCGCCGTCCTGCTGAGAGAGGCTCATCAACTCCGTAGCTACAGCGCTCAAACTGCAGCAGTCCGCCACGGTGAGCGTCACAGCAGAGGACGTTGAGATTCTGACCGTCGTTGGTAAATGCCACACCGCCAATCTCACCAAAGATATCGATGGTTTGTTTAGACCCGAAAGTGCCGGCATCAATCAGGTGGATATAGTCAGCCTCTTCGGCAGCAGCAAGGATCGGCTTGCCACAACCTGTTGGCGAAAAGCGCAGATTTCGGACACCAGCCATCTCGGTATTTATTGTGCAGATCGGTGAGGTGATGCCACTTGAATTCTGCCAGCGTCGAGCGTCCCAGATCTTGATAGTCTTGTCTTGGAATCCGGTGGCAACTGTCCAGCCATTGTCTGACCAGTCGCAGGCAAAGCCGTAATCACGGTGCCCGTCCAGCTTCTGTAGGACTTCTCCCGTCTCTGCGTTGGTGATTAAGACATTCAGGTCATCGCCCACAACGACCCTCAGTCGACCATCTGGTGACATGGCCGAGCAATTTAGCGCAAAAGGGTATGTGAAGGTAGAGGTGAATTTTTCTGTCCGAAGGTCCATGAGGCGGAAACGATTGTCATTGCTTGCGATGGCGGCAGCGGGGCTATCGGATCTCCTCGGCTTGTATATCTTGATGTGGTTGGTGATACCGCTGATATTAGTAGATATTTGCCCCTCGGAGTAGTTCCTCCTGTCTTCATTGCTCAGCGACTGCAGAAAGTAGTCGCCGCCGAATGTACCACTCATCAACAAGCCGCAGCCGGCATCCAGTGTTGAGATTGCCGGGCCCGTCATACCAGAAAATGCGCGTAGATCCATGGCCAATGTGGTTTTTTTCGTCGCCGTATTCATCACGTTTATGCCATGGACGCTGGGGTAAAACGCCTGTGTCCGAGTAGGACAGGCAAGAACGCTCCGGAGCTGGAAATGGGCAAGACTAATGTCTCGTCGAACGTCCATCCTGTAGAATCTGAAGAAGTTCTCGGTCGAAGGAATTTTGTCTTTTGCTTCAATCTAAATTTCGAGTTGGATAATTAGAACAAAACCTCTTTGTATTGTCATTTGGAGGGTAATCTGCCATGGAAAACTTACGTAAATATCAGAGCCAGGCCTGTTGACGTAGTTCCTGTACGTTTGTCGACGAATTTCTCTGGCGTAGTAGCGGGCCGTGTTCATACTGTCCCAGTCTAGGCCTTGCATATCACAGCCATTGGCGCGCAGGTCTCTGTAATGAACACGCTCCACTCCGCTGTTGGCCTGCTTCAAGACTCTACGGATGCCCGGCCGAGGTAACCTCAACGACATTAGCGGGACGTTTCCGTAGGCCCAAGAGCGTAGGAAGTCGACCAGGCCGTAGTTTTCGGATCCCAATATGCTCGGGTTTGGATTACTCATGTGAGGTGGGGGGAAAGGATCGAGCAACATCTGCTCCTCATCTTCATCGAGTGATAGCTCGTCTGCTGACAGGGGATTTTGGAGTAGTATGTTGAGGGCTTCGTCGAGCAATTGTTGTGGCATATTGTCCGGTAACGGCAGCTGGTCGCTTGGATGGAGATAGTGCGCAAGGCTGGGTATCGAGGTTGGTGGCGCATGTGACTCTTCGTCGTCGCTCATCATTTCGTCGTCTTCGTCATCCTCATCCTCATCGTACTCTCCGTACTCTTCGTCCTCATCATCGTCGTACTCTTCATCCTCGTCATCCTCGTCCATTTCTCCTTCGTCATCCGCCAGGCCATCGGCGTAGTGTTCGTTGTAAGTTGTGCTGGCCTCAATCATGTAATTGCCACCAACAGTTCCATTCATGTGGCTAACGGGAGCTCCTCCATCGCCATCGCTATCGCTCATCTCTTGGTCGAAGAAGTCATCCATGTCAGGATGGTGCTGGGAGGATGTGTATGCGACTTCGTATGGATGGTCAAGGAATGAGTTGGTGGGAGGGTCTAGTGGGAGTTGGTTGCTACCAGAATTGACATCGACGGGTGCGTGGTAAAAGCTGCTTTGGGATTGCTCAGAAAAATGTGTTTCGTGCTGGTCGAAATACATTTTGTCGCCTGTGCTGTTACCTAGGGCATAGTGCGCCTGGTTACAGCACAAGCGATCTTGATGTTGGTTATCCTGCTGCGAGCAGTGGTGGAGGCTGGGAGGGTCAATGTGCTCGCCGTCGTGGCCGTCGCATGAAGAGTTTTCGTAGAGCTCGCAATCCAGTGGCAATGAGAGCGAAATGGGTCGCATGACTGTCCGCGACAACAGCAAGGCTCGTGGCCAGGTGTTGCGGGATTGCGGCAGGGACACGCGCTACGGGCCTGCGTCCCGAGCTGTGCCTTGTCCCGGCCTCGTCTTTTGCTGCCGACGGTGGCTCTCCTATCCCCTGGTGCGAATGCACAAGCAAGGGCAAGGGGAGGGGGGCTGTCGCCTCTTCAAATCAACCTTGATCTGGTGCAAGCCTCCAGGCTGTCGGATGCGCTACTCTTTTCCCACCTGGTAGATGAGCTGCTGCCCTTGTCTTTGCGACTGCAACCTTGCCACACCTCTTGTTGGTATAATCCCGATGTATCCCTCCTCGGCTTCTCAAGGTTCTTGAGTGGGTGGTGGCGACGGTGACAACGGTATACTATTAGCAACCGTGGTGGTATACCGCCCTTTCTCTTTTGCTCGTGATCTTTCAGCCGCAGGCGTCCGGCCTGGTTCCTGCTTGACTCGCTCAAGCACTAGCGCCTTGGGACGTTCGCTTCGACTGTTAATACTGCAAGTAGCCGCGCTTTCCCGGCCTCTGCGGTACAGCTATCGCAGCCTCAGCCAAGAGGGAATGGGATAGTAGTAGGTATTAAAGGTGAAGATGGGCGGGTAAAGGCGTATGGCTCGCGCGCGTGGGGTCGAATTGCCGGCACGGCCCAATGGATCAGAAAGGGCCGTTGGACGAGATGGGACGCGGAGGCGAGGATGCCGCCGTTTAGCTCCCTTTGGCCGCTGCTGGTCCTTGCTGTCGCCAATAGTGATGCCGGAGAGGGCCTGCTGGGCTGGTTAGGATCGCAACGGGCGTTGAAGGATTGGCTGTGGTCTGGCAGCGGCAGAGGACATGTGATTGGCGGCAGAGGGGGCGGGCAGTGATGATCTGGGGATGACAACGGCGATGAAAGGCGAAGGTGAGAGATGGAGAGACGGAGAGATGGAGAGGTGAAGCGAGGGGTTTACTAATAGCACAGGTAGGACTACCAGCAGGAATACTGACCGATGAGTGGTTTCCCCGTCCGCCGGTGCCAGCAGCCTCGTGTGCTCCTGGGCAAGCTGTGGTGTAGAAGCGAGGTGAAGAAGCCGTAGTAGCGTCGCCCAGAAAGTTGTGGATGGACTGCCAACTTTAATACGGCCCGCGGCCGGACCTGATGAGAAAAAGCGTGTGCTCGATGGCCAATCTGCTTTGGTGCGAGTCAAGCCCCCTCCCCTCCCCCAGACTTTTCTGCTTGGCCTACTATACTACCACTACTGCTACTAGTATCCTGTCGGTCTGCCGGTCTGGCTTGTACCCGGAACCAGCGCGCAGGTAGACGAGACAGCCAGCCTCCAATCTCGAGTTGCTACGACGCTGTATGTGTGCGCATAAGGCTGACGCTGATGGGCTGGCATGTGCCGCCGTCTCGTCTCGTCTCGTCTCGCCTCGCCTCGCCTCTTCTCTTTTCTCTTCTCTCTTCTCTCAAACACCCAGTGCGCCTTGTGGTGATTGACTTAGCGCCGGCTGCGGCCTGGCCGAGTCGCGAACAATTGCAGAGCAGAGAAAAAGACGAGAATCAGACACATCATATGTGCCGTGTGCTGGTGAGCGCATTGTCCGAGCGATGCTAAAATCGGCGCCAAGCCGGGCAGGGTCCGTTGATAGACACCCGCCAGCCTTGAGGCCCAAAGGTCACAGGTACCACGCAGCGAAAATTACCGACTTGCTTCTTGGGGGAGGGGACGATCCCCGTTCTAGGCCAAACGCACGCCATACTGAGCAGCTCGCTGTGAACTGGACGGATCCCTGCTGGAGCGGCTGGCCAGGGGACGAGACCGAGTCCAAGGAAGCTGAAGCCTGTGCACTGTATGTAGACTTGGATGGCAAGATGGGTTGACCGGGGTCGCCATGCACTTGAGCGCCTTGCAGCGACGTGCTGGCTGATGTGTTGTTGTTGATGTTGCAGCTGTTTATTTGTCTTTTGCCCATCTCGCTGAGGCCTTCAACTTGTCAAGTCCCGTGTACTTAGACGTGCAAAGCCCGACGCATAGAATCCGGGCTCTCGTGGAGTGTTGCACAACAGAAGCCGCAGCACGGACACGCACACGGCATTGGCCCACGGGCGAGTGGCGCCGTGCTTGTGCTTGGAATTGTGGCCGGTCCCAGCATCAGTCCAGTATGGAGGGATTCTGGTGGCGTCCGGATATCGCTCGAGGCCGTCGTCGACTCGGAGCAATGCGTGCGAGGCGTGCCCGATGCCATCAAGTTGAAACCAGACCAGACCTCGACTCTGAGCGCGCCACGGCTTATGTCACAGCGCCTGCTGGTCTGCTAGGCCGTCTACGAGTGCTGGTGCTGGCGCTGGCGCTGCAGCTGCAGATGATGGGCTTCAACGATGATGATCCCGCCGTGGTACACGCTGGCTGCTGTTCAGTGGCCAGCACGGCGTCTGCTGAGCTGACAGCGCTCTTGGCCCCCAAACCGAACAAGATATACGTCAATTCCGATCCGGGTGCTGGATGGAGCACTTGGGCAAGGCAAGGAAAAAAAAAAAAAGGTCCCCCAATTTCTCCGCTGCGGGCTGTTTGGCCAAAGCCTCCAACGGCCAACATCGCTCATCTCTCACATTTCGACCCTCTCTGCTTTTACTCCTCTCGGCCATGGATGCTTCTTAGTCTTGCAACAGACACGGCATGATAGTGCTGGTCTCTCGAGGCCTGATTGACTAGCAGGCTTTGTGTGAAATTGCCGCATGCACGATTTGCATTACCGGGATTACACTCGGGACGCCACGCCATGTCGCCCATTGGTCTGGAACTCGTAGCCTGCAGCGGTTGTCGCTGCCCTGTACAGGACTGATGCGACTGAATGCGAGCGACGGCAGCCGAGGAAGCAGCATGAAATCATTCGCAAGCATGGAAATCCATGTGGTAGCCTGAGAGCCCAATCGAACGAGGACTGCGCGCTTGCAAGCATGTCTACTGTACTTGGACAGTATCAGCCTACCTGGCAGACAAACAGCAACACCTCACCTTTTTGGAGACTGGCTGACTACTAACATGTATGTATACCATGTATACCTATTATATCTCGAGTCCTAATAGGGCCGTTTCCTTGCAATTCAGGCAATCCGGACTCCGAAACTATTGCCAGGGAGCGATGCAGCTCAAACCGCAGTGGGAACATCCAGCGCTGCGGAAATATGCATGACAGCCACGCTCGCTGCCAAACGTGCCCATACAGGAAATGGTGACCGAGCGAAACCGAGCAGCAGCAGAGCTCCCTACAAATATGCTAGCATATACTGTACAGAACGCCCTGCAACGGCCGTGGCTCATCTCGATGGGGGATGAGATGGGATGATCAACCGGACTCTCGCTCCTCTCAGCCTTGGGTCTTGGCCACCATGCCATGCTCATCCTTCTTTTCCCCCTCCATGCTGGACATGCTCCCAAAAGCAGCAATCTGCTGCGGCATCAATGGGCTGGGTCGTCGCCCAACAACCAAAGACGGCCTCTGTTAGGCTTCGCTGCATGTGCATGCCTTCCAAATCCTCCGCACCTTGTGCCGGCATCATGCCATGCTATATCACAAGCGTCTCAAGCGTCAACGTCTCGCTACTGTGCTGTAGCAATTTGGAACGACCACTCCGTATACCAAGACGGGTGTACTGTCCATACAGTCCTCGGCCTCGTCCAGCTGAGAGGGTCTGGCTGCATCCCAAGAGGCATTAGGGGGCTCTGCCTGCATGCAGGATCCATATTTTCCTTCACCGGTCGCGCGTGTAGTTTGTGATAGATGACCTATAAGCTTGCCCGTTTTAGCCCCCCCCCTTGTGCTCTGCCAGCCCGTCCATCCATCACCACGCTGGGCCGCCTCTTCTGGGCTGTTTGGCCCGTCTGGTGGCTGAGAAGGGATGGCAGAGAGGGGACGCTCCCCTGGCTGCTGCTGTAGCCGCCGATGTTTGCCACTACGAGTAAGGTGGCGGCAGCAGCAAGCATCATGAAGCATGAAGCACGAAGCAGCACGGGAGGTAGGCTCGACTTGTTTGTCTTGTACAGAATACACAGAGGCTAGGCTGTATGCGTACAGGAGCTCAAATGTATGGAGTAGAGTTTCGATTTGACTTGCCCCTGCCGTATACTCTTGACCTTGCGCGTACTGTCTCTTGATACGCCCATTA